GGGGGGTGTTATTTTTTAATAAAAATTGGATATTACGCAAATGTCTAAAATCACTTTAGATTTTCACCAGACGTTCTTGTGCATGCTTTTATTAATGGAAAGAAAACTTTTGATAAGATGATGATGATGAAAATATATTTTTTTTGATGATAATGATGATAATGATGAAGATTATTTTGATGAATTATGAGGAATGCTGCTGCTGCTGATGATGAATGATGACGATGATGATGATGATGATGATGATGATGATGATGATGATGATGATGATGATGATGATGATGAATGATGATGATGATAAAATGTGATGATGATGATGATGATGATGATGATGAATGATGATGATAAAAGGTGATGATGCTAAAAGGTGATGAATTAAACACATTTTCTCATGGATCACAGGACTGGGGCCTTGTAATCCCATAAAATTTAAATTTGTTAATTAATATAATCTAGACATATCAGTCCTTTTCCTGACAGTTGCCATCTATACCTATGTTGGTAACTCCCCGACATTTTTTTTGTCGGCGAATCAACAGTAAAACTTAAAAAGGTTGTAATACGTAGTAATACATTTTCATGTATTAATTTGCTTTGCTGCGCCATAACAACGACAACAAAAACAATTGTAATACAACCCAAGGCCTCTTGGGTCGGGCTCAGTCGCTCAAAGTTTAAGTTTTTATTTATTCACTCCGACACACTTACGTGTGTAACAAGAGGTCACATACATATAGTAAGTATGATACATGGCGTGTGATGTACACAATTACAACATTGTACATAGCATAGATACATATAGAAGTACACAAATAGTACAGAAATTAAGTTAATATTTTTTCAAGCTTTTCTATGAATTTACAAAGTTTTGTGTAAATTTTTACATTAAATATATTAAACAATCCTTGCATTTTTAATTGACTTGGATAAGTGAAATAATATTTTGGTATATATTTCTCTCTTAGACATTTAACTAAAACACTTTCACATATAAATAAGTAATGAAATTCATCTCCAATGTACAAATTACATAATGTACAGGTTCTTTCTTGACGAGGAATACCTAACCATCTTCCTTTTTCTATGGGTAAATGCATATTGCAAGAACGGAATTTACACATTATTTTCCTATCATTTGTATTAAGTTTAATTAAATATTTTTCTTGTTCAAACTTTGTCTTTAATATTGAATATGTTTGTCCTCTAGAGGAGTTAAGAATATTATCAAACCATTTCTGTATAAATTGATCCTTCAGTCTACTTTTCACAAGCCTCTTAATTTCGTCTTTTGAAAAAGAACATGTAGATTGATAGTACCACACATAGTTCAGGCCAGTTTGAGAAAAAATATCTTTAACATATGCGAGCCATTTAAATAACATAGTTCCATTTTCATGTAATGTATACATAAGCTTATAAATAGTACTTGATAACTTACTAGAGGTAATCAACTTATGCCAGAATACTATTATTCTACATTTAATTTCGATGTCTAGTGGGTATCTTCCAAGCTCACCATAAACAATGAAATTTGGTGTACTTTTTCTTACATTTAGTATATATTTACAAAATTGAAGATGGATTTTTTCTATAATATTTGTGTTTTCAAAACCCCATATTTCTGATGAATAGAGAAGAACTGGCATAATTAATGAATCAAATATCTTCAATTGTAGATCAACTGGTAAAGATATGTTTCTCAATTTCTTATAGACAGCAAACACTGATTTCTGTGCTTGTTCAACAATTTTTTTCCTTGCTTTAAAGAAGCTACAACTAAAATTAAAGAATAATCCTAGATAGGTATACCCTTCCAGTATTTCTAATTCTACGTTACATAATGTAAAATGGGGAGTTCTTGCACATTTTCTTTTTGAAAAGATGACAATTTTAGTTTTTCCTGAATTGATAGTTAACTTCCAAGTATTACAGTATTGTTCAAATTCATTTAAAGCTAACTGTAAACCATCTGGTGTTTCTGAAAACAGGACAGTATCATCGGCATATAAGATAATGAATAGTTTGAGATACACTCCAATGTTATCAATACATAATTTGTCTATTGTTTGAAGACAATTTACATTTTTTTCAACAAGATAAGTTTCTAAATCATTTAAATAAATTGCAAACAAAAATGGCGATAAATTTTCGCCCTGTTTTAAACCGATCTCACAATTGAACAAATCCGACTGTTCACATCCATTTTTAACACATGATTTGGTTTTATCATATAGCTTATAAATAATATTGAAAATTTTAGAGTTAGATAGACGGACGGACGGGCTTGGTGTAATTATAAAGACCCCATCCAAGTTTTATCATGACGAGGAAGAAGGAAACGCAGACGTTTGACCTTTTGCTTGTAACACAGAAACCGAAAATGGGTGATAGCATGCATACATGGAATAGCACGCGGAACAGAAACCGAAATTGTTGTCTACTACGTACAACAAGTGTATTTGCATACAGTGTACTACTACACATGTATTTTAACTTTTAACTCTTTTATTCGTATTTTTTTAATTACTCTTTTCATTTAAATGATAAAAATATCTCCCATTGATATCATCATTGGGCCTGGGGGTGGGAGGGGGAGGGGGTATTTTTACTCAAAGTTGGACCTGAGCAACTGCTAGGACGAACGCAGATGTCTAAAATCACTTTCGATTTTCACTAGACGTTCTTGATGCTCTCTGCATGTTTTTATTGATGGAAAGAAAACTTTTGAAAATATGATGATGATGATGATGATGATGATGATGATGATGATGATGATGATGAAAGGATGATGCTATGATGACGATAGTAAAAAGACTGTTTTCATCATGATGATGATGATGATGATGATCAGAATGGTGATGAAAGAGGATGATAATGAGGAATCAGGAAAAGATAAGCACCTAAATGTCACATGTCATAATCCTTTCATCATCATCATATCATCATGAAAACCATCTTTTTATTATCATCATCCTTTCACCTTCATCATTATCAACATCATCATATCATCATGAAAAAACATCATATCATCATCATTTATCATCATCATTTTCATCATCATCATATCATCATGATAATCATCTTATTATCATCATCATCATCATCTTTTCATCAGAATTATCTCTAATACCTGATCATTTTCTCTGATGACATGTGACATTTAGGTGCTTATCTTTTCCTTTGCTATTTTTATTTACGTTTTATGTTCTATATGTTTATACTATGTATCGCCTCCCTTGGCACCGATTCACTCTTGACTAAATTGCAGAACGTTCGCCAATGCGAGGAAGGCAATTAGTTCCATGCTGGGACATACCAAAGTCCTTTAAATGGTACATTTCTTATAATTGCTGTTATTTCCCGCTAAACGATTTGTTTACCCGTTGTCAGTATAATGTGCCCGGGTGCAGTACTTGCCAGGTACTAGTCCTAATTATTCTGACGTTTTATCGACTTTTTTATATCGGTCTGTCGTCGTTAATCGACGACAGACCGATATAAAAAAAAGTCGATAAATCGTCAGAATAATTCGGACTAGCCAGGTACATACGAAACGTTGGGCTAAGATCCATGCTATAGCGAGAAGTCAATTATGCCAACACAACGAATCCAGCACACACGTATACTTTACATACATGGAGTTAAGTCATTGAATGATGTTATGTACTAATAGAACGATAAACCCCACGACCAAATCTTGGCTTGAGGCCACTTTTGCTCAGGTAATGGCAGGTGTGAAGCTATTGTTCGGAGTGGGTTCATTTAGGAGTGGGTCCAGGGCACGGTCTCGGTAGGGGGACAAGGGAAGAAACAAGCATTGTTTTTTTTCTGTTAGAAAATTTAGTAGATTCACCAGCGTATAGGCAGGTACGCTCTTGAATGGTTTAGTTTCAAGAAGAAGGTCAAGTTCAAGATTTCGATATTACATATTGAATTTCACCAATTTTTCAACGCTTTCTTATTTTTGTAGTCTGTAGAGAATGACCGCACGCTGAATTTGATGTTTCTCTTGTTTCTGTACCATCAATCGTAATTGTTCAAGGTGATTTTTGTTGCACTCCGCTGCAAAATGCTATTGGAAATAAGTAAGAAAGAAAGAATGAACACCTGAAAATGCTCTTTCCTCCCGGTTATGTTTCGCTAGGTACCTGTCCTCATATGATCCTAGCTGTGGCAAAGACGATGTTCAAACCCAGATTTTAAAAAGCTTGGAGGGATACCGTGTACATTTACCTTTATTTGCACATTGGATCCATATAATTCTTCGTTATATTTATTAAATTTTAATTGGGAAATTATTTTTCTGCAGCGCTAAGTGTCGGAACAGCCGATACTACGACCAGCACATCCAAGGATGCGACCAGCACTACCGCCATAACAACAACAACGCAAGCTATATCAGGCGGTAGTACGTATTAGTTTGTTCGGCAATCACTCAAGAATAATCCAGAATGATAAAAATCCTTTTCACATTTTTAACTTATAAATGGACGAAATGTTTATGCATTTACCTTAAGACCAAATCATTGCACTGGAAGTATATGTAACATAGAATGTGCCAACTGTTTGTGTTGTACATAATTAAGAGCTTCATAGCCAGATTATTAACGATGACCATTAAAGTGTTGGTTTTCTTACGGTAATCGCGTCTATTTGTTGTAGAAGTCCAGCCTCGCTATGCGGCATGCTATGGACAGAAGATTGAAGCATCATGTCTGAAGGGTGAAAACATTACTGTCTATGAAATCCACGTACACGCCAAGCCACTCTCGTCACTCTGTCAACTGGATAAAGATCCACATCGTGCTTCATGCTGCAAGTATGACCCGAATGACTGCAGCATGGACTATACCGGTTCGAACAGGGCTTTCATCTTCAAAAACTGCAACGGTCGTTCAGCATGCATGGCGACGCCTGTGTCCTGGATGGCGTTAAATAGCAAATACTGTAAACAAGAGTTGTTCCCCAGGTTTACAACCTACATAACCATAGACTACGGCTGCACTCCTCCTGCAGGTAAATAAATGTCATTTATAGCTGAACCAAGAATGTGACAATATATATCCACTACCTAGTTAGTACAGGTAAATGACATCCGACATTAATGTACAGTTTATCTGTACACAGGTAAATATTATCCTATGTGACTGACCACTATATCTGTACATAGGTACATAATCTCCTATTTGATTGACCACTATATCTGTACACAGGTAAATATTATCATATGTGACTGACCACTATATCTGTACACAGGTAAATAATATCCTATGTGACTGACCACTATATCTGTACACAAGTAAATAATATCCTATGTGACTGACCACTATATCTGTACATAGGTACATAATCTCCTATTTGATTGACCACTATATCTGTACACAGGTAAATAATATCCTATGTGATTGACCACTATATCTGTACACAGGTAAATAATATCCTATGTGATTGACCACTATATCTGTACACAGGTAAATAATATTCAATGTGATTGACCACTATATCTGTACTCAGGTAAATATTATCATATGTGTTCACAGGTACATATTATCCTATGTGATTGACCACTATATCTGTACACAGGTAAATAATATCCTATGTGATTGACCACTATATCTGTACACAGGTAAATAATATCCTATGTGACTGACCACTATATCTGTACACAGGTAAATAATATCCTATATTTGTTTCCAAGTTCAAGTTCTTTATATTGCGACTTATCAGTGTAAACATATATTAAACAGGATATTTACATATGTACAAAAAGCCACATTGGTCACAGGAGAATGAGCAATACACACATGCAAACTGTCATATATCTGATCGGCGCTTATTTGCCGCTATCAGATACTTTCCAAGATTACATAATCCTTTAATATTCGGTGTATTAAGTATATGACTGACCACTATATCTGTACTAAGGTAAATACGACAAGGTGTATTTGTCATACTCAACAAGAGTGCAGTTACCTCTCCTTGCCTAGTAATTGTATTAATGTTGATAGGGTGTGGCTTTGAATTGTTTCCGTGTAATGACACGGTAAATAAATATGCTGGGTGGTACTTGACACCTCCCGCCCGCGACTAGTACTGGTAGCAGGCGTGTCTTTGTCTCATCATATCTATCAATTGTTTATGTAATTATAGGTCGAGAATCTCAACCATTTCTATGCTATGACACACGAATAAGTATCAAGGGGTGAAGTAATAGTCAAGACTAATGGTAATGGCATCTTTATGCCATTGATTTTATATATGATTATATGTTGGTATACCAACATTTTCCATGTTATAACCCAGGGGGGAAGTCCCCAGGGATGCGACTTGAACATTTTCCCAATCCTGGTAGTATGAGTGTCTTATCTGCCAATCCCTAGCAACGGTATTTATAACTAAATTGTTTTGATCTCAACTTTTTTTATGTTATGGCTCAGGGAGTAAGACCCCCAAATCCTGGTAGCACGAATGTCTTGTCTTTTCAAGTCTAACAACTGTATATATGATTATAGGTTGGGAAAATCAAATTATAACTTATTATGACCAAGGGAGCTAGTTCCAAAGGTTGGGGTTGGACCCATAAGCAATCCTGGTTGCATAAGTGTCATCGCCTCTTCATGCTTAGCAATTAGATATTTGGTATTATCCTAGCAATTAAGAACCCACCCCTCGGATGGAAACAGACGCCAGGGTAAGTTCTGGTTCCATGAATGTATTTATCTAATTATGATGAGCATGGGTATTCAAGGACATAGGGTGGGGATCTCAACCATTTCCAAGTTACGACATATCTTATTCCCATCGTCCTCAGTTAGGGTCACACGATCCGTTTGTACAAAATTGAATCCCCTTGCCCAAGGATGTTCTAGACCAAATTTGGTTTAAATTCCACCATTCCTACGAAGGAAGAAGTATTCTAAAGATAACCTAAATTTCCTCTATTGGGACTCACCTCTCTTCTTGTAGGGATAACAAACCCGCCGGTTATTACAAATCTGAAACGTCTGTGCCCAATGGTGGTCTAGACCAGATTTCGTTAAAATCTCTCGATTCGTTCGAATGGAGTAGGATTTTAGAAAATCACCTTAATTTCCCCTATTGGAATCCACCTCTCTGCCCCCAAGTGGGACTACACCCTTCCTTTATACAAAGTTTTCCCCTTTTTATCGCATTTGCTTATCTTAAGTATGCTATAGACCAATACGTTCTTAAATTACTTTAGTTGTTGATAGGACTTAAATCCTGTACAACCTTCCAACAACTAGAGACCAAATTTTGTCAAAATCTGTCAATCTGACGGAAGGGAAAGGTCTTCAAATATTAACCTCGGCAAGATGATTAAAAAAAAAAAGATTAGAAAGTATTTCGATAAAAACAGAGTTATATGATCTGTTCTTATTTCGAAAATTTGCATTATGATCTAATTGAAATACATTTCAACATTTTGTTCCTGTTCATTGAAGATGGAAATACCACAGTCACTAGTTCTCCCAAGACATCGTCAGGAGTATCCGTAATAACAGGCGAGTTTTTGTTTTCAGAGCAACAGAGATTACTGTAATCCCGTTTACAAGACTATACAAGCCATACAAATATGCTACATTAGGGGTTATTGTAAGTAGTTTATAAAATGTGTAAGAGTATTTTACAAGTATGTTACATTAAGGGTTATTGTAACTATGTTTATATAATGTGTTAGAGCAATATAAGTATGTTACATTAAGGGTTATTGTAAGTATGTTTATATAATGTGTAAGAGCAATACAAGTATGCTACATTAAGGGTTATTGTAAGTATGTTTATATAATGTGTAAGAGCAATATAAGTATGTTACATTAAGGGTTATTGTAACTATGTTTGTATAATGTGTAAGAGCAATATAAGTATGCTACATTAAGGGTTATTGTAAGTATGTTTATATAATGGGTAAGAGCAAGTGTGTTTACATGTAGTAATGAAAGTGTATCATAACGAATTAGAATTTTTTTTTAAATGAATGACTAATAAACTTTAATAATATCTTTTCAGGAAATCCAACGGTTTTACTTGGACTGGCGATTTCATGGCTCCTTTGGTGTACCTTAGGAATGTGAAAAGGAAATGATCAAGTGTTTGCAAACGGTAAATCTTACTGACCTATAAAAATCAATATTAAAAAAGAAAAGACTGGAAAAAGTAACAAAGTAGCGATTTTGGCATTATATATTTATTTAAAAACGACAATATTACAATGCTTATATCTCCTTACGTGATAGTGGTATACAGTGTTTATGAATGAATGGCACAACGTCAGAAGCGATATTTCCCGGTATTATTATTATGACGACATTCATTAATATGAAGAGCATCGCGGAATATTGTGATCGGTAGGTTTGTCTCAATTTGTGTTGAGAAAAATTACATATTTTTGAATTTGGACAAACATGTGCATACATACCTGCTAACACTAAAACTACGTTTTCAGCAGGGAAATGAGGGTCATAGATGGTTTCAAGTTAAATGTTACTTATGATGTTTTGTTTTAAACATTTAAACGCCGAGCTTATCGGTGGAAATGCAGAAGATTCGAACAAGATATCCGCATTTAGCATAGGTCAGTTGCGGTTGACCTGCACAAACGCCGATGACTTGGCAGGTATTTAGACTACTTTTTCTAACTTCTGACCTCATGTTTTTTGTACATTTATAATATAGATTGTAATAAAAACATATTTTAACATTGTTTTCCAAAAACTATGTATTTGTGTTGAACGGAGCATGGTCATAAGAAAGCGGGGTATGTAGCGTGCCAATTAGAAGTAGTTTAAACACAGTAATTTATGAATTCAATATAGTTTTTCCTGTTTTCACATATTGGGTTGTTTTCACATATTGGGTTGTTTTCACATATTGGCACGCTACACCTCCGCTACAGGGGTACGTACGAATACGAGTTTTTGAAAGTATTGGAACCTAGTTAATCAAAAATCAACCTTCTAGGGAAAAGTTATATGAACATATTTATTTTTGGACAATTTAGGCCTGCTATGTTAGCAGACAGGCGCCAAATTAAATTTTGAAGTCTGTACTTTTCATTCTTGTAGACCAGGTTGTATCTAGGTCTCCCGATTGTTACTGGCCACTAGTTTTGTTGTATATAGACTATAGACTATACAAATAAACCATGCAATACTGGTGAAATGGAGATAAGAGATAATTTATAATGACAACATGTCCTTTGTATGACACTTTTCGGATTAGACACCAAACTTTTTATATATGAACACGGAATCAAATTTCAATAATATTATGTTATATACATGTAATGCAATTTAAAGGACTCAAATGTCTATTCTAGACAAATTTTTGTCGCGAAGGAAAATGTTTGGATAGGTTTTAATCGACAACCTTTTTATATACTTCAATTCGCATACCAACCTGTGGCAGTCTTATCGACTACGTGTATATGTGATTAACTATACTATGGCTTTTTTTTATAAAAACAATATGAGATAACATTTATTGAATATGATTTATGGTTTAATATTTTACATGTTTTTAGTAAAGTGTCTCATTTTTTTTTTTTTATTGTGCATTTAGTATTTATGTTGAGTTTTTACCGAGTTTGCGACACTATACTAAAATAACATTTATCTTTTCTATATAAAGTACCCGGTACATATTGTACTTCCTGTTACAAAATAAAGGAAACCTACGAGCTAAACCATGATATTACCATTGTCACTTGTGTGAATTATTTCTTTTAGGCCTTTTGAAAATAAGTGTTCCATAAAAACCACATGCTGTGGTGCATTTTTACATTATTGTAGTTGTTTAAAATTGAATTTGTTAAAATATAAAAGGACACATATTCAAAGCCCATGAAAAATTGACAGAGGCAGTTACTCTCAGCCTGAAAACACCGATTGCTTCATATTGTATGCTGTAAATAAAAGTTTAAAAAAACCTCCGAGTGGAGCTTTTCGTGATCATAAACGATGCAGTGGGACCACCGTTTACCTGAAGAAGTACCCACAAGTGCTAGACACACTAATACTATGATGTGTATATACTATATAAAACTGTTATATAGTATATACACATCAGAATAATATTAGTGACTCCAGCACCTGTGGAGGAACCGTTGTACAAGTGCTTGAAGTTATATATGTATAATAACTGTTTAATATGCTTGCAACAGCAAGCGTAAACATATATATACATCTTTACATAGTAATATAAATGTACACCGACACACACATACATAGCATACATACGTACGTACACGTGCGTACATACATACATGTAGTTTATGCAATAATGCAAACCAAAATGGATACTTCAGTATGTGTCACTTTTGATTTCTTTACCGTTTCATTACTTAACAGCATTATTACAAGGGGAGTCATCAGAACATATATACATGTGTAAATCGAGAATTCACCCATGCACCCACCCACCCATACATACCATACCATACCATAAATGGTACACAGCAATACATGCATGCACACATATACACATATACCCATGCCTAAGAATGTGCAAGTACATACATAAAAAAACCATAAACATGTATATGCATAGCTATATTTCATGTGATTTCTTTTTAATCTTATAAGATTATATGCCAATCATCAGTTTCATCTCATGGCATTTTGCATAAAGAATATCATATATATATATATATATATATATAGAAAAAATAAAATTAACGACCGACTAAAAAACTAGCTGCTTTCACCCTTCACAGGGCTCTTCAGGTTTATTCAAAAGAGAACAACGTCGTGACGTCACAATTACATGTCATCACACTACAATAGTAACGTGACGTCACGAAGTACACAAGATTGGTGGACAATTTGGCGTAAAATTTTATTGTGGCCTGTTGAGACTCGGTTTTAATATTTTTATTAGTTGGTCTTCTTTCGTTTCTCTTAAAATAGTGTCTGATGAAAATAGTTGATACAAAGGTAATACATTAAATTTATCTCCAGCACATTCATGAATATGTTTGTTAACATGAAGATTTCGTAAAGAATCAGTTCTAGTTTGTTGTCTATGTACAGTCATACGTGTTCTGAGTTCATTACCGGTTTGACCGATGTAAAAATCACCACATTTAGAACAAACGATTGCATAAATTACATTTTTTGATTTACAATTCATATTTNTAACACCAAAAGTATCCAAATGTAAGACACCAAGATGTGCTACATGTCCTATGATTATCGAGTGTAATACTTTTATTTTCAAGAATGGTTTGAAATTTACTGTGAAGGTAAATATGAATTGTAAATCAAAAAATGTAATTTATGCAATCGTTTGTTCTAAATGTGGTGATTTTTACATCGGTCAAACCGGTAATGAACTCAGAACACGTATGACTGTACATAGACAACAAACTAGAACTGATTCTTTACGAAATCTTCATGTTAACAAACATATTCATGAATGTGCTGGAGATAAATTTAATGTATTACCTTTGTATCAACTATTTTCATCAGACACTATTTTAAGAGAAACGAAAGAAGACCAACTAATAAAAATATTAAAACCGAGTCTCAACAGGCCACAATAAAATTTTACGCCAAATTGTCCACCAATCTTGTGTACTTCGTGACGTCACGTTACTATTGTAGTGTGATGACATGTAATTGTGACGTCACGACGTTGTTCTCTTTTGAATAAACCTGAAGAGCCCTGTGAAGGGTGAAAGCAGCTAGTTTTTTAGTCGGTCGTTAATTTTATTTTTTCTATATTTACTTCCTTCACATGGACATTTAATCACTTTTTATTATATATATATATATATATATATATATAACCTAGAATACTCAATACTATATTAAAGACAGAAATATATTATATCTTTAATATAGGTAAATATATACTTAATTGTTGTTATATATATTATATAGTTCTGGAGTATTCTCGTGTGGCAGCTGGGTTTATTTATTTATTTCTCCATTAGAGGATTTGAAATAAGATATTATGGGATTATAACATTTTTAGCTTTAGGGTATGAAAATATTTGACCATGATTCCCATGTTTTTTTCAAATGGCTTAATTAAATCCCTTCCTTGGGATATTATCTTGTCAATCTCATGTAAATTAAATAAATATTTTTTAAATTCAGTTGCACTAGGGTTTCTTTTCTTGCTGGAGCCTAAGTAAATGAAGAAGTTTGCATGAATCATGATGATATTTGTTGAAATGGATTTTTGGAATTCAGAAGTTTTGCCAAAGATTATAATATCTTCCTTTATTTTGAATTTTTGGTTAGTTTTTAAGTATATCCATCTACGTATGTCCTGCCAGAAGTTATTTGTTATTTGACACCGATAAAAAAGATGTGCTATAGTTTCTTTGCTTTCTTGGCATAAAATACATAAATCATATTGTTTTCAAATAATGATTAAGTGGAAGTATTCTTAAAGAAGCCTGAAAGTGAATCATTGAATGCTACTGTCTCTTGTTATTTTGAAAGGGAGAGAGAAACTAGATCTCCAGTTAACAGTGGAGAAAAGTTGGTTAGATAGCCATTTTACTTTATCTGTATTAGTAAGGTTTCTTCTATTAATGAGGGTGCTGTATACATCTCTATTTCCCTTTTTACTTCTTATATTACATTAATGTGAAAAGTAATTAATGGCCTTTCAATAAATGAATCATTTTATCTTATATCATTATCTCTCATAAATGATTTAACTGATAAGCAAATGCTTCTGTATTGTAGAAAAGTTCCAGTGGTAACATTATACTTTTCTTTAAACTCTGTATAGCTTAAAAACCCACCATCCATTTGTGTTATATCTCCAACATATACTCATTTTGTACTTTAAGATTCCATCTGTGATGGTATACATCAGCACTAAAAATTTTGCTACCATTCATTATAGAAAAAGTGGTTATTATTAATCTTAAAATTTCTACTGTACCATATTGGCGATTTTAAAAGGTCATCAATATTTCTAATATTTGTCATTTCTGCCACTTTGGTCCATGCTTCAAAAACATCTTTCCAAAATCGATTTTCAGTATGAATACTTTTAATGTATTCAATTCCTATATCTCCTACTTTGTTAGGTTTACAAATTTCCCCAAACAAGTTTAGCTATTCATTGTTTTCAGAAAGAAGTATGTAGATTTAAGTCCACATATAAAGTTTTCTAAATCAATCATTTTGAGTTCACCCTCACTATAGTCTTGAACAATTGTCGAGCATTTTATTCGATCAATTGGTGATTGCCAGATAAAATTGTAAATGTTTTGTTCAATGATTGAAATATGTCTTTACTGGGAGTAGAGAGAGATATGAGCAGGCGATTCATTTTTGCAATGATAAGAGATTTAAGAACAGTTAGTCTCCCTATATATGTAACTTGCTATCTTTAATACTAATAACTTCGTTGAAATTTATAGTAACCATGTCTTCTAAATTGACAGAGAAATCAATCCCGAGTAAGGTAAATGTGGTTGCTCCCCATTTAAGATTCCATCTGTGATGGTATACATCAGCACTAAAAATTTTGCTACCTATCGAAATTATTTTTTTGTTAGTTTTTACTTTTAACCTTGATATTTTAGCATAGTTATCTAACATGTTTATAGCCTCTATGAATGAAGATTTGTTGCCATTTAAAATAAAGGATGCATCATCAGCGAACTGTGATAGCCTGTGTTCTTTGTTTGTGCCCTTAAAGTTTTTATCATTTTTTAACCTGATAGCTAATATTTCATCTACCAAAATAAATAGGTAAAGATGAAACTGGATCCCAGCTACCAAAAGAAATAGGTAAAGATGATACTGGATCCCCTTGTCTACAACCCCTTTTAATGTCTACAAAGTTGGATAAAAAACATTCTGTATGATAGCCGAGGAAGTATTTGTATTAAAACCCTGTATCCATTTCTTTGTACTTTTTCCAAAATTGAAAAAACTTAATACTTTTATAAAAAAAGTCCCATGACACCGAGTCGAAAGCCTTTTTAAATTCAATAAAAATAAGTCGTTCAGGAATATTATGTTGCTCTGTATAGTTCATTATGCCATAAACTAACCTGGTATTTGACCAAGTGTAATGTTAGACACAACGAGAGTTAATGTAACACATGGCCGAATATCACTTTTCGGACATCAATCGTTGAGCTTAGACAATACTACGCTCCTCCCTTTTCTAAAAACGCAAGCAAATCAAGCCCAAAGACATTCTGAAACAAGGGCGTGTAGTTGAGCTCCTGAACCCATCGCAGGATAACCCAACATCGGACTTCAGCAATACCATCTGGATCCTATATAAGAATCAACGGACAGGTGTCCGTCTCCAGGCTAATTTCATCTTAATCATCATTGTCCTGTTCCAAAGGTTGCACCACATTGGTATATTAACACCAGCCACAAATCCATCGCTTATACTATCAGCATCTGCCATATACAGTAACGTGTCCATTGTCTCGCGCAGGATGGCACACTTTACAGGTTGGATCCAAATAGTCCGAATTATTCTGACGTTTTATCGACTTTTTTCATATCGGTCTGTCGTCGATTAACCGACGAGTTGGACCGATATAAAAAAAAGTTGATAAAACGTCAGAATAATTCGGACGAGGATCCAAAGTGGAATCCCAGCGGACCCGAAACCTAGCCGATGTTCCTATCGCTGCAACCGGCAATTCCTTACAGTATTGGAATCTTTGGAGACAACAAATAGTCCTTTCCTAGGAGTGTACTTGTGTTGGGAATCCATCTTCAACACGACATCCATACTTCCACACAGAGTTCACTTATCTAGGCTACGTCAAAGACAGAATCCAAACAACTTACGATGTCTGGAAGAGGAAAAGTATTGTTGAACTTACGTCAATGGCTCTGTAATATATGTTTAGAATTTCCTAACAAGTACCGGTTGAGATGCCTAATCTGACCCGAATAACTGGTTCCATCCATTCTGAATTCTTACAGAGTGATATCTTTTCTCCTCAACCTATAATCATAAGGGAGTCCTACTCATCTGCTGTGGGTCATCGGTCCATTTCGGTATCGACTTACCCTCCAAAACAAGTCCAAAGCCAAACTCAAATCAGCAAAGAGTTCCCGGGAGGACAACACAGCTTAGCAACCTTCAGTTCTTGCTCCAACAGTAACTGAATTGTCGATCGATCAAAGAGATCAACCAAGCTTGCAATAAGTGGTGACAGCGCCTTCTTTTATCGTTCATTCAATTTCTTTTTGTTCCATCCTGTCTTCTCTAATATTCGATGATGAAGGTGCTTTCTTGCATTCCTAACTGAAGTGTTTACCTTCCATCGCAGTCCCAAAGCTAGCGCTGCAGCCGGTGTTCAAAGTGACGATGTTATCTACATCACAAACATACCGTTATTGTCTTCCTGCAAGATGGCGGCAGCATGAAAACCTTGACTGACCCTATCGGCCACTTCACCACGCCGTCACTCTAGAAACCGCCTACCAACACAGCTGATGCCACTTTTCAGGATGCTGGAGGTAGGACAGTTCTACATTTTACTTGGAAACTGAAAACATTTATTTCTATATTAGTCGGATCTTTTACTCATAATGCAGAATAGGGTTTGCCATCCAACTCAACACGGTAAGCCGACAGATTATGTCCCAGGATTTGTAACACATACATCACCTTCTGGTCCGATATATCTGAAGGGAACCTAACGCAATATATATTCCTTGTCAAAAATTCAGCCACTGACACTAGTCTTTCCCTACCCATGCAAGCAAATTATATTGGGGAGGTGGAGAAAATTGTACTGGAGATATTGGAATCTATGTTCAATAAATTGAACAAATATGTACTAATCAAAGATACATGATACTTGAAGGGAGTTACAAATATTGTTTACTTAGTAAATATGATTTCACCGGCTAGTGGTATATCCGACCAAACCAACAGTGCATTAAACACCTACATATAGCAGCTTGACTTAACGAGTTTACACCGAGTGCTGTTACGCATGGCTGAACATTACCTTCTGGAAGAATTGATGTGAACTTAGAGAAGTAAATTCGGTCACTCAATCCTTGAAATATTGCTGGTGTATGCGACACTTTAAGGATCAATTTTGTATTTTGTAAATATTATGCAGCTCACTACCATGAGTCCAAAATTTGTACTTAAAAAAAGAGAACATGATTACAGTTGACCGTACAAAGTCAAGGAAACAAAATAACCACATACAACTTTTTTATAATGTTTTAATCAGAAAGCATTCATCATCACTTTTTCCTCTTTCGTTTCTGTCTGTTTGGTGAACTGTTTTCTGGTGCTCCTCTGAAATACAAAGCAAAGAAAGCTGCACCAGTTTCATTATAAACATCAGAATATAACATCATGAAAACCAAAATACACCCAAAGTGTCATCAAAAACTTTTAATGATTATTCATTGTGATGTCATATTGTAGTGCTACAGATGTATGCCATGTTCAGTTAAGATTAACCATCATGATTCTAATATTGTTTAAATGTGGTGTGTAGATGTTCATGTATGTTGCCCTGGTAAAAAAAACTAGCCTCTTCCCACAGAGTCAACTCTAGATAAATTCTCTTCAGCTTATTTAATAAAGCGCAAGACTAGTAAATCAGAGTTCCCTGGTTCGACTCCTAGCAGAGACATTAAAAAATTAATTATCTTTATTACAATGGCACCAAGGTAGAGACCCAGGAAATACTGACAAAAATACTCAGTGATACTTTCACAAGAGAGAATCACTATATTGGCCCCTGAAAAAACTTGGGACGAGTTCTTTGCTGGAGGGGGAGTATACTAGCCACTCTCTACCAATTCAGCTGGGGAGAATTTCTCTTTAGCTCATGCAGTAGTGTGTAAGACTAGCGGAGGCATTGAAAAAATAATAACCTCTGTTACATGTATGTCAAATAATGTATCTGCTTCTATACCAATTAATGATTTTCTTTTTTTTAAAAAGCATTGGATCACTGGCAAACACATGACCTATTCTGAATTGATGGATTCAATTTAATTTAAAAGCAAATGTGTTATACTGATTCAGGTAACAGGAGGTTTGCTTATGAAAATGTCCCAACCAGTGGGAATGAAATCTCCCTACTATATGTTCTGAAATCATCACATTATGGAATTATTAATTGTATGTCTGATTGTACTATAAAGCACCTTAGACTGGTTTCATCAATTATATAGTGCACTATACATAATGTTGTGTATTGCTCATTAAAGGATTAACATAGTAAATACAGTCTTGGAGTTAATGCCACTGTTAAAGGTGTTCACCTTCTACAACAAGAAATCAATTTCTTTCATAGCCTAAGCTTTCTTTTGGTTTGTGATTTACATCCTGTTCATCCAGCTATGGTCATTTAAAGATGTGCCAGGGTTTGGTGGTGGAGAAATCATCGATAAATGACCTTAGCTGTTAATAGGACATTAAACAAAATAAAACCAAAACCATTGTTCGATGAAAACCAACAACCTGCGTCCAGTACCTGGCAACTGACCCACGTAGGCCTCAAACCCACAACCCAGTGGTTATAGAGGGCTCGTGATTGTAGGTGGTCAAGTGCCTTAACCACTCGGCCACTGCCGCCCTTCATAGCTTATGCAACTTAGAATATGTCGACCAATGTTTTTCACTTTGAAAGACCATTCCCAATTTTGAAATAAAAAAAATGAAAATGTTTCATTACTGACCTTTTCGTCGAGCTTGATCCTTGTTTTGGACAGTTCCTTCTTTTATGGTCAAGGGCTCCACATACATGACATCCTGTAATTCCAATATAACACTTGACTCAATGGCATCAAATCAGCAAAATACAGGGTATCAAATATCCTTCAGTTTTCCAGCAAGATTAAACTGGAACTGACACTATTGGTACCTATCTCTGTGGAGGACTGTGAAAGGTTTTTTGTAACAGCAAGTAATGTTACATAGCTGCAATGTATTTCTAACAAATGACTTGGCATTTTACAGAAGAAGGTTGTGCATGGCCTGGGAGAGTCGGTCATGTGGTGATCATGTGATAATGTACAACTGTTCTGTGGAACTCATCAGTATTAGCAAACCAGGTACAAGGGTTTCCAAGCAACTTTCCAGACCAATAATCATTAAGGCTTTAATACAGATGTAATATAATTATATTTGGAGTTCTATTACTACAACACGTTCAGACTGAAGGAGCCTAGAAGACTCATTTACGGAAGATAAACACCAAAATATACTGTCATTCTTACTGTACTTTTAATTCAAAAAACATAAATCAGGAAAATAGAAATAAGGTAAGATTGCTGTCAGACCCGATTATTGGTTGCAAGATCCTATACTTTACAAAGTTATTGTTCTCTGGATAACACAGGGATCTGATTTAAATGTATACATTGGTGGGACCTAGTTCAAGGTCAATACACTTTTCTGTTTCATTTAAGATTAACCTAGCTAAATAAGATTGTTTTCTGGATCATTTATGGTTCCATTTTAAATGTTTAAATTTAAACTGTAATGTCGTCATGTGCCAAAACACCACGAAATATGAGCACCTTCACATGTCTACATTGTGGAATCATAATCTAAATTTTAATTTCAAATTTAAGATTGCGTAAATAACAAGTTATACGGGAAGTAAATAAAGAAGCTAGAAAGAGGTCTGGTCGATACTGTTTTCTGGATTACAAAAGGTTTAATTATAAACTTAAGGAAGGAATTAAGGAAGAGTGACTGACCGTTGGACATAGGTTGACCACATCTGTGGTCCTGCTGTTGACACGTCTTACAGGTCTTGCAGTGTTGCTTGGACGGCTTCACACATCGGTCACATTTAAAGCAATGCTTGTACGTCCTCCCGTCCTATAAGGGTGGAGTAAGATACATCAACATCTCAAAATCAATCTGTTAATGATTCAGCCTTCCATTTTATTGTACAAGGTAACTTTTCAGACAATGACATTACATTTCCTAGATCTAAATCCAGGAAAGAATATTCCCATCTGCCTAATATACTAGATCCCAGAAACAGTACGGTGTTCTGTGACCTTAAATACCATATGTTAATGTATTAATGGAGTAAAGCAATGACACAATGATCTCCATACCTCATGAAAACTTTTAAACCTCAAGATTTTAAACAATAAACACTATATATGAGTTTTAAATGGTAATACTAAGTAAGATTAATTTTAAATGCAATCAGTCATTATAAACACTCTTTAACTCTGAAAAATGGCCGCTAAACATCAAGTTAGGGGAAAGACCACTGCTGCTGTGATGGTAATGGAAAATTCTAAATATGTCGCCCCAGGAAGCAGCATTTCTTGGTAATGTAGATCTACTACTACTGTACTAAAAGTGAAAAGACTAGTTCATATACCTAAAAGTGTGTGGGTTATGGCCTCATTTACTGGTGTCATCTGCAGGAAGTGTGTGACATGAAATGTTTAACAACATGAATATTTCTATGGAAGGATTAAACACAGATTAGAAGTAGAAATGACAAGTAAATAGACCATGTTACCTTAGAAGGACACAGGTCACAGACATCACAGTGGAGGTTTTCTTTGGCAGAGAATCTTGAACACACCTTACAGAACCTTCAAATAAAACAAGTCAGAAAAAGAAAAAAAACCACACACACCAGAAAATGTCTGTAATACATTAATGTCTCCTTGGCCCCGTGGTTGACCAAAAAATAATAATAATATTAGTAACACTAGGATCCTGAAACACAATAACTCCTCCGAGGTATTCCTATAATTAACCTTGGTATAAACTAAGAACTGAATTTCATAGCATCATGACAATGGATCACAAAGGGACATGGGTAACACTATTTGCCTCCCTCCCCATAAAATGGTAGGGGCATAAAAAAGAAATAAATGATATTTGGTTAACTACATAGAAATGAATATGATTCTGTTTAGAAATCGGACAGAATCTATCAGGGAGCGAAATTTACATAGGTTACTGGTAAGTTACATTTTATTAATCACAGAGCAAATATTACAAGGAAGGTTGCATATTTTCACAACCAGGTAAATGTTAAAACCTACTGTGATACAAATATGAATACTTGATATCTATTCATTCAGCAGTACCTACCAGTACCCATCAGAGGCAGGCAGAATTACACGTTCGGGCGACAGATTGGTGAATATTCTCACTGGGGAGCCCTGCTTCTTCATGTCGCCACGGAACAGCATGTGGTTGTCATAATCCACCTACAAACAAGGTTTAACATATGAATACATTTAATTCAGAAATATATCATAAAACAAATCAAAACAGGTAAAGAGCCTAAACAGAAATACAGGTTAACAGCTTGAAGGAATACAGAATTACATGGTTAGAAAAAGGTGCAAGAATGCAGGATTGCAAGGAGTACAGTGAGACAGAAATACAGCAATACAGATACACAGGTTAACAAGGAATACAGAAACTCACTACAGAAATACAGCAATACAGATACACAGGTTAACAAGGAATACAGGTTAACAAGGAATACAGAATAACAAGGAATACAGGAACTCATTACAGAAATACAGCAATACAGATACATAGGTTAACAAGGAATACAGAATAACAAGGAATACAGAAACTCATTACAGCAATACAGCAATACAGCTACACAGGTTAACAAGGAATACAGGTTAACAAGGAATACAAAATAACAAGAAATACAAGAACTCATTACAGCAATACAGCAATACAGATACACAGGTTAACAAGGAATACAGAAACTCACTACAGCAATACAGCAATACAGATACACAGGTTAACAATGAATACAGAATAACAAGGAATACAGGAACTCACTACAGACATACAGCAACACAGATACACAGGTTAACAAGAAATACAGAAACTCATTACAGGAATACAGCAATACAGATACACGGGTTAACAAGGAATACAGAATAACAAGTAATACAGGAACTCATTACAGAAATACAGCAATACAGCTACACAGGTTAACAAGGTATACAGGTTAACAAGGAATACAAAATAACAAGAAAGACAAGAACTCATTACAGCAATACAGCAATACAGACACACAGGTTAACAAGGAATACAGAATAAAAAGGAATACAGGAACTCATTACAGCAATACAGAGACATAGGTTAACAAGGAATACAGAATACCAAGGAATACATGAACTCATTACAGAAATACAGCAATACCGATACACAGGTTAACAAGGAATACAGAACAACAAGGAATACAGGAACTCATTACAGGAATACAGCAATACAGATACACAGGTTAACAAGGAAGACAGAATAACAAGGAATACAGAATAACAAGGAACACAGGAACTCATTACAGAAATACAGCAATCCAGATACACAGGTTAACAAGGAATACAGAAAAACAAGGAACACAGGAACTCATTACACCAATACAGCAATACAGATCCATAGGTTAACAAGGAATACAGAATAAAAAGGAATACAGGAACTCATTACAGCAATACAGATACACAGGTTAACAAGGAAGACAGAATAACAAGGAATACAGAATAACAAGGAATATATGAACTCTTTACAGAAATACAGCAATACAGGTACATAGGTTAACAAGGAATACAGAATAGCAAGGAAGACAGAAACTCATTACAGCAATACAGCAATACGGCTACACAGGTTAACAAGGAATACAGGCTAACAAGGAATACAAAATAACAAGAAATACAAGAACTCATTACACCAATACAGCAATACAGATCCATAGGTTAACAAGGAATACAGAATAAAAAGGAATACAGGAACTCATTACAGCAATACAGATACACAGGTTAACAAGGAAGACAGAATAACAAGGAATACATGAACTCCTTACAGAAATACAGCAATACAGATACATAGGTTAGCAAGGAATACAGAATAACAAGGAATACAAGAACTCATTACAGCAATACAGCAATCCAGATACACAGGTTACCAAGGAATACAGAATAACAAGGAAAACAGGAACTCATTACAGAAATACAGCAATCCAGATACACAGGTTAACAAGGAATACAGAACAACAAGGAATACAGAATAACAAGGAATGCATGAACTCTTTACAGAAATACAGCAATGCAGATACATAGGTTAACAAGGAATACATAATAACAAGAAATACAAGAACTCATTACACCAATACAGCAATACAGATCCATAGGTTAACAAGGAATACAGAATAAAAAGGAATACAGGAACTCATTACAGCAATACAGATACACAGGTTAACGAGGAATACAGAATAACAAGGAATACAGAATAACAAGGAACACAGGAACTCATTACAGCAATACAGCAATGCAGATACACAGGTTAACAAGGAATACAGAAACTCACTACAGCAATACAGCAATACAGATACACAGGTTAGGAATACAGAATAACAAGGAATACAGAAACTGATTACAGCAATACAGCAATACAGATACATAGGTTAACAAGGAATACAAAATAACAAGGAATACAGAAACTCATTACAGCAATACAGATACATAGGTTAACAAGGAATACAGAATAACAAGGAATACATGAACGCTTTACAGAAATACAGCAATACAGATACACAGGTTAACAAGGAATACAGAGTAACAAGGAATACATGAACTCTTTACAGAAATACAGCAATACAGACACACAGGTTAACAAGGAATACAGGAACTCATTACAGCAATACAGCAATACAGATACACAGGTTAACAAGGAATACAGAATAACAAGGAATACATGAACTCTTTACAGAAATACAAGGTTTCAAAGTTCAATTTGAAGGAATACAGAATTATGAGAGATACCAAATACAGGGCTACAAGATATATGTATATATGAATACATGTAACAACTTAATAGAATACAGGGATACAAGAATACAAGTGTAACAGGAGAAACAGAAATGCAATGGCCCAAATGGGATTTGAACCGGGGACCTTCCAAATTCTACCTGGTTGCCGAAAATCGACCAAGTCCAGTTCCACAACACAAGGAATACAGAGATACACAAATTCATGTTTACAATAGAGAGACATGAAAAATAATGAGCAACTCTTTTGTACTGTATAGCATTTTCATTATACTCCTTAAGATTGTTAACATAATCTAAACAATCGATATTCTGGGGTTACGATCACTTTCGCTCTCTGCACTCCTGGAATTTTTCATAACAAAATTGAAGGCATACAGCTAGCTATTTGATTGATCTCTGGTTAAAAAAACCTGTCAGACCTATCGCTAGACTGATACTTGTCCTTTGAAGATTACAGAGGAGCGATATCTGACTTCAAAGCCTGTCAATTTTACCGTTAGGTGACCGCGAGATTATTTTTATGTACATCAAAGGATCAAACTAGTCTTCTAGTCTCATCCACAAGGTGGCACACACTCAGCCTTCATTTTTGCTACAACATATTCCAGGGGAGCAGAGAACGAACGTGAGCGTAACCCCTGGAGTATCGAGGATGAATCCAAGTGTTCTGTTCTCAATACAGATATGTTCTCTACAACATTTGAAAATGTCATAACAAGCTTGAAGGCTCTGTACATTCCACCTTACATATAATACAAGTTGATCAGCCGGAAAAGGAAAAGGAATCTTGCATACCTTGGACTTCTTTGTTACAGGACAAAAAGAATAGTGTGGCAGCATAACGGTGAATTGATAGTCTTTGATTTTTTGGTAGATCCAAGGTAATCTTCGAAGGACAGGCATTAGTCTGTTGATTGGTCAGTTTTTTGTGTCTTAAACCAATCAAATGGCTATAAACCATGAGCTTAAGATTTGGCAAGAAATGTTTTGAGGGAAGAGAAGATATTCATATCAAAAGCAGAAGTCTTAGATTTCAAAGATGAGGACAATGTGGGAAGGAAGTACTCAATTATAGGTGTAATCCTGTCCAGTACGCTAGAAACAGAGTTGGTACTTTCAAATGTGTGTTATTTGACAGTTACCTTCGTATGAATGCAATGCTTTAGTGCTTATATGTGTCCCAGGTAAAGTTTGTTATAAAGTTGGATGGAAAACATGAATGCATAAATTAATTAGACCAATTTAAGAAGGATACCTTGTAGTCTAACATGTGTGTGGTAGGAAGACACTCTTTGATCCTCTTCTCCATGAAGTATGGGAAAAACCACAGTATTGGTAGATTGCTGTCCTGGGTTTCTGTAAAATAATAATTAAGTTCATCTAAATTATATAATTTAATCAGTATAACCTTCAGTTACTGATTGAAATATAATGTGTTTTGAGCTGTGATGGTAAACTTCTGGTGTAAAAGACTTTCGTTCTTATTTACGGGAGTTCAAAATTACATTAAATACGGTTATTTAAATATAAAAAAACAATTGCACTGGATACTTTTAACTTTTCTTTGACGTTCTTAGTTATTGTTAATAATTGTAAATTACACTTTTAAATCGAAGTGTTGTGTCGTTAATTTACCGTAAATCATTCTGAAATTTAGCCAACATGCGCAGCTTCCTGCGCACTGGCGCTAAGTTTGAGAAGGATGGACCCACCTTAAGATAATGCAAATATAAAGGTTGTGAAATTCTTCAAAAACTACTGTAGCGCAATAATGAATTGGCACATCTACAAAATAGACAATTTTTCAACTGGATGCAAAAACTGTCAATGAAACTGCCAAACCCAGTTGATAATCCAGATTAAAATCTTACAAAACGTATCCCGTGTAAATTGGGTAATAAAGCTGATGATCTGGGGTTGATTAAAAAATATCCCTTGATCAAAGTTGTGAGTAGCTCAAACTGAAACCAGAAGAAAACCAAGATACAGAGAATATATGTATGGCATCTTTTGGCTTCATCTGACAGAAGAATTGAGAAGATTCATGCAGACTACAGTCATTGTACCCAAAACAGGACACTTTTCAGTTTACTGTCGATATATTTCATACAACAGTATCAATTCCAAAAAATGTGTGACCGTATTTTATATAAATAGATATTATCCACTTTAATTTTCTATTTACAAGTCTCTTACAAGTAACATAAAGGAGATTCTGATTACTTTTCTTCTCAAAACTAGCATTAGTTCTGAAAAAATAAGTTTCTCAAAATTATATCCAAACAGACAGCATTGCATGGCACATACATTAAGAAAATTATGTTTTCAAAATTATTTCTAACATGTCCTAGTGACCATAATCAACAGCCAATAGAGCTGATATACAGCTGAATTGACATAAAAGTATGATACTGAGAAAATTGAATACATAAAAATGCTCCTCTGAATTGCATTTCAATTTCCTGGCCTGTTTTCCCACTAATGTTCTGTTTTGGGTACACTGACATTACAGCACTGGAAAATCTAGGTACTCATCAAAAAGGCATCTGCAAAAGTGATGTCCTTACGGTCTGAAAGGGTCTGCCACTGTAGGCTGATTTTATTATAAGTTGCTGCGAGTGCATCCACCATGCCACCAAACGGAGGATCCATCACCATAGCAACACGCTTCCCATCCTCCTCTTCCTCCAATATAAATTGTTTGAAGACATCTTCGCTCTTTTGACCATCAAAGAAATGGTGATTAAACATGTTGTAGCGACAGAACTTAGTCGTTGGATAGAGTTGCTGCTGTAATGAAGAAAAGGAAAGTGCTGTGAGATTTGACTCAAAACAATTAACACTGGTGAGAATCTAATACAGTGTACTGTTAAAGTGGAATATTTTTGCACATGGAAATGTTTACAACTGATTATGATATCAAAATGTTCCTGTTGGCAATGGTTCTTAAATCTATATGTTCTTTATTACATGTATCTGCGTGTGGATATTTTCATGCTTATTTACTAATAACACAAGCATTTCCACACTTCAACAAAATCCATGACCTTGACTTCAATTTTAAGATATAGAATGTTTTACAAATACATACATCAAAACATGGAGACTGGTTTACATAGGCAACTGACCTTCAGATTTAATATAAAATAACATAAAATTCTAAACAAAGCCCTCAACCCTTACCTAGCTATAACATACACTTCAAACCATGCCCTATAATATAAGCATGAATGAACATTTTCTTAAGGGTCTGTACAGTAATGATTTCTCTCTCTCAGCTACTCATGACACTGGTGTGTGACTGGAATAAACACAATCTAACACTTTTTCACTGTATTTGAATCAATATTGATTGCTGATATTTAGTTTGCAATGACTGTTTTACGATTCTGACACTTAAATTTTCAGTGATCAATTGAGTTTAAAGCTGACAGTGCAAGTTAACAGGTAATGTGCTTTTTATACCCACGGAGACCCATACTCGGCACAAACTAAAATGTTGGCGCTTCCTTAGAAACGTCACCGGAAGAGATACATGAAAATGCAATCACTGGTGAAAATCCCAAAACCAGCTGCTTTTTGCTTTCTTTAATCTTAATTGAAAGCTTTCTAACTTGCACTGTCAACTTTAATCATGAATGCAATGCATGAAGGAATATTTACTGTTTACAATGGTAACGTACATATCTGTGGTCCAAGTCCAGAAGTAATCCTTTAGTGGCGGAATCCTTCTTCAACTCTATAGCTTCAAATATTCTGTAAAACAAAGCAATATTAAACTGGAATTAGAATCTGGACAAGAACATTCTATTCTTAGTAACAGTGACATTGACCTTTGACATGCCACGCCCAAAATTGATAGGCTTTTGCCTCCTCCTGTGTGATTAATTAACATCTACATGTCATTTGTTCAGCGTAATTAAATTCTTGATAAACTGACATTGACCATTTATGAAACAATGCCCAAACCCAATTGAGTATTTTCTCTTCTCTAGGACTAGGACAACCCTCATACCAAACCTGAGATTTGTGCCATTATTTATTCTAAAGTCAAAATCTGTACAGGAAAACTCATTTCTAGTAACATTGATATATATTGTCTTTGATGAACCAAGACCAAAATCTATACTATTCTTGGTCATTTCAAGGCCATCCAACATACCAAGTCTGAGCTTTGTGTGATTTATTTTTTTGAAGTCATAGTATTGTTATCTCCAAGGGTTTAAAGAGAACCAATCTGGCGTGAGGATGTTTTTTTCATGACAGCAATTATTGGTGTAAAGGTTATTTTATGTATACCGTATTTTCAATGTGAAGGGAAAAACTATCAATATGGATTTCATCAATGGAATGTTAATATTTTACAGAGTAAAGATTTCTCAGTAAACAGTCCTTCCTTATATATACCTTGGTGCTCCCACACAGACTTATATATACCTTGGTGCGCCCACACAAACTATGTGAGTAAAGGACAGATCTTCCAATGTCTTGATGGTAAAATCAACAGCAGAGGCCGAGAACAGGTATTGCTGGAATGAACAAATATATTCAGCAAATAACAGGTTATCTATCATTTGAAGTGATGGAATAAAATAGTACAATGTACTAATAACCTCTTAAGACTGATCAAGGTCACAATGCACTAACCATCAGATCACCAGAAGCTAATACCTCCCCCTCCCCATTACCCATTACATGGTACATGTAGTTGTTGCCAACCACAAATTATGCTATAATGTTCCTACTTATTTCAGCTGACAGTGACATTATTGGTCATAGTAGATTTACGTTACTAGCTCTACTGAATGAAATACAGACTTATTTTCCCACTTGTGAAAATCTATGATTTGTCAAATCATAATATACATCACTCTTGATATACAATACATATACCAACATTTTTTTTTATCAACAATACGATATTGACATCAATATACATTTATAAACAACGAGATATGTTATTGCAATTTTGACCCTGACAAAACGAGAGTCCACCTGTAAATTGTCATTGTTGTGTAAAAGATGTGCATTAATTTGGTTGCCTTACAAGTGTCAGCTGTAGGGAATTTCCCTTTAGCTCAGCAGTAGAGCATCAGACTGGAGAGCCAAGGGCAGCTGGCTCGAGTCCCAGCGATGGCACTATCTTTATCACTATTCCTCATCCTACTACATACTGTTGCCGTTGAACCTGCCTGTACAAGGTAGGAGAACCCTTGGCGGGGAGTCAAAGAACCTCGGTTGGTGTTTAAAATAGGGGGGGAAGTGTTAAAGATGTGCATTGATTAGGTTGCCTTGCAAGCGTCAGCTGTAGGGAATTTCCCTTTAGCTTAGTGGTAGAGCATCAGGCTGGACAGATGGCACTATCTTTATCACTATTCCTCATCCTACTACATACTGTTGCCGTTGAACCTCCCTGTTCAAGGTAGGAGAACCATTGGCGGGGAGTCAAAGAACCTGGGTTGGTGTTTAAAAAAGGGGGGAAGTGTCAAAGATGTGCATTGATTAGGTTGCCTTGCAAGCGTCAACTGTAGGGAATTTCTCTTTAGCTCAGTGGTAGAGCATCAGGCTGGAGAGATGGCACTATCTTTATCACTACTCCTCATCCTACTACAATTGCATACCCCAAGTTAAAGCAAGTAAAATTTCCAAAATTGTCCTTCAATTTAGAAAACTTGAAAATGTTTTCTATGAGAATAGTACGGATATTTTGTTTAAAGTTCTACAGCTTTGGATTTATTTTATAGCATATCAATATATATCCTTATTTTTTCACTTACAGCGAAAGTTTTGTTGTTATCTAAAGGTACAAATAGCTTGGTGGGTTTCTCCAACATTTCATCTGTAATTGGGGACTTGACCTTGTGACCTTTGTGATCTTTGAGTTCCCCTGGTAACAAGAACCTGCCACAAGTTTGACAGAGTTCACGATTACAGCTGGTTTGTTCCTTGAATCTTAAAAATCTGTAAAAAAGCAAATTATAAGATTAAACTACTGATTAACAATATTTTATAAGTCTGTAACCTTGATATTAAACACTTACAGGATTCTAATTTTCCAACAGTTTTATACCCCAGTGAAACTTTTGTCATTGTATATCAAACTATAAATGTTTATACAGATAAACTAATGAAACGAAAAACCAAAGTCAGTGGCAATTAAATGTCCAGTGTTAACAGTTGATTTCTTGGCAAATATTCACATTTGGACCATATTTACATTCTTATGTGCTTTTGTATCCATTTTTGGTCAGAGTCTGTGATTTTTAGGACAGCATTTGTCTGTAAACAACTTTAGAAAGACTGAGGACAACATGTGTATTCTGTGGCTCTGTGATTCAGTGACTATAAAAAGGAATGGACCAAATTACTACTAATACATGAAATCGACTTATACTGTAGTATGATTCATGTTGATGAGTATAATGTATAAGAAACTTCACTTACAATGAAACCATTGTATATTTTTTGGTTACATTTCTTGAACAAACACCCCTTCGGACTGAAAAGATATTTCAGACCTCACACATGAATGGATTGCAAATGAAGCCTGAAGTTTGACAGCCATTACCCGTATATGATTACCTATTATAAGCCTCTTCATGGGAAAACTTTGGTTTTTGTTGCGAGTTAATTTCTTGGCGAATTTTCTTTTTTTCCTCTGAAGGTTTCTCACTTTCCCACTGAAAGAAGTTGCACTCCTTCCTATCTCTGAAGGCTGAGCAGGCAAAAAACTTGGATGAGCTTCCTCTGTCATATTTGACAAACAGCAACGCTGGGCCTAAAATCAAACAAGTTTTTTGTTCAATGTCTTTAAGAAGTTCATAACTGTTTATCGACCCAGCTTTGCATTCATCAATCATATTAAATTGATGTGTGATAAAACATCATCATCATTAGAAAAACACCCTCCTGAGTCTTGTTGTTTTATGAACCTACATAGATTTTCAGACCTACATATGTATCTTCAACAGGAAGTACAGGAAAAGTATTACATTGACCTCGCGAATATGGGAAAATTGAATATGCTCAATGTGAAAATGTGTATGGTGTGTGCTTTCTGTGTAAATAGATATCATATCCGCTGAAGGAGAAAAAGACTTTTGGAGTGGCGGATCCAGAGGTTTATTTGGACTTCAGGAACAGCCCCCCCCCTGAGAATTTTCTTTAAAAATCATGTGTTTTCACCATTTTCCACAATTTTTCCCCACTTGGACCCCCCCCCCCCTCGAAATTGGGAAACCCCACCAGATAGGTCTCTTAGTCTTAGTATCCGTCACTGCTCTGTGCGCATATATATGAGAAATAAAACTATCTATCTTTCAAACAATAAAATGTATAATTCTTTTTTCATTCACTATAGTAACGTTATGAAGTTGAAGGTGGGGTCATGCAAAATCGACATCAAAATCTTTATAGAGAGAAGTATGCTTCCTGATAACTAGTGATCAAATCAGCGACCCTTAGACAGCTTCATGGTCACTGTGCCGATTGAGCTAAAGGCAAATTCCCACAAGCATGCAGCAGACCGGGCAGTGAGTAGAAGGTGACCAATATCCTATGAGCACCTGCCACACATTGATTCCCCACGGGAGGTCCCCCCACCCCCTTTTTAAAAAATGTATTGGCGTTCGAACACCACATACAACCCAGGTTCTAACTCCCTGTCACTACAGGGAGCGCCACTAGCTGACACCATTCATAACAGTACCGTTAGAATGATCGCCCCAACCCCCACCCCACCCCACCCCCCAACCCCACAGAGTAATATTACAGGCTAATGAGGGGTTAACATCGACTTTTGGTAAAAATGCAACCCCAATGATGGTATATACGTATAAATATTACTCTGAACGACTCAGTTTAGGTCAAAATGTAGATGTAACAAGGACAGGTCCCTGTGATCAGACAGGTAAAAATCATATCCGACCAGCGGCCTCTTATGTAGTAACATGTATGATATCGGCACATACCATGAGGACATTCAGGGATTTCTCGACCCCCTGTGTCGATGATCACATCAACATTAGCAGCAGTATTGGCTGCCATGATTTCACAGAATAATCAACTGTAAACGTCCACTGACGGCATGGACAGTCAATGTCAGTCAGTCCCACACGTGCGCAGCAATGTTTACAAATGAACGGGCGGTACTAAAGTCATGAGTGCCCGGAACAGTGAGGGACAACTCTAATGTCAGGAAAGAAAACCGTGATAGTGACAAACTTTTTCAAGGACATCCAATCAGTGAGCAATCAGTGGAACACTGTCTATAATTCTTTAATCGTTTATTTTTTTTCGGAATTAACCAAAAAAAGAAGTTTTTTTTATACTGATATGATAATTTAATCAAGAAGAGAGACAAGAAGGGATAATAATTATACTGTACAATTAATGCAAAAGTTCATTGCCAAACAAGAAAAACACGAACATATGTAAAAAAACATTGAAATAATGAGATTTTTTGCGATTTCTCTATGTAGGCCTTTAAATGTAATAACCAGGTGTTCAAGTGATGTGTTACAGAATACATCTTGATTTTCCAGAAATCTGTGAAGTATAATCAATTCAATTCAAGTTTATTTGGTCAAAAGGTACAACAACATAACAATTTCATACTGTACCCAATACATGTTTTGGCACTAATAATTTATATGGCTGATTACATTATAAAACCTATTAATGTAAAATTATATAAGTCTCTAAAAAAGAGCTATCACAATTTTATAAATTACAAGGTAGGCAACAGTTATTCGTATGAAAAATAAAATAACTAAAATATATGTTAATTACCCTTAAAACCAGGATTACCCAGAAAGCCCTGAAGCTCATTTCGACTGGGGTAAGTAAAAACAGATGGCTGACTAGAGACTGTTTTGTGTTTTTTTTCTTATCCACCTTAAATCAAAGCATGCATAATTGTTAACAGAGTGAATCATGCCCACAAAGTTTCATCCCTTCTGTTTAGTAGTTTATGAAAAGTAGTACATCGTAGTATCAATCTACACATGCAACAACCAAAATAAGCAGCATGGGCGAGTACGGGTGGCCGTTTTGATAGGATCCATTTTAAATTGGAGAACACACAGCTATTGGCCAAGGAGATCATGTATATCAAATTTAGACATGGTCTCTTTTGTAGTTCCATTACAAATGTGGTAACAAATTTCACATGCAAAATCAAGGATAATTAAACTGCCTTAAGCTGCAAGGCAGCCGTTTTCCCCAAATCCGTCTCAAATTGGAGCATGCAAATTTAAGCTATAGACCAAGATCATGATACATGTAAGAGGGTCATAGCACCTACACAATTGTACCTAAAGCTTCTACCAGTCAGAACTCAACATGTTGTTCTTAACAGTCAATCACTGGCTTCTAGCGAGAGTATTTCGTCTGGAATGCGTTCCTCAAGTCATTGAGCCCACACCAATGTTATTCTGCTATTCAGTAACAATTAACCTCCCAGGAGCATTTACTTAACCAGCCACCTGACTGTTTGCAGATGACTACATCTTGTACAGAAAATAACATCCTCAAAGGATCAAGTCATATAACAATGGCTGGGACTTGGATCAACGGCAGTGCTGGGAGAATAAAGGATAATGTGCTCTAATCCTGGTAAGTGTGAGATTCTCCGAGAATGTGAGGTTCACCAGATGATCTTCACAACGGTCCAACTACAACATCTATGGACATGTACTTCACACTGTTTCTTCAGCCAATTGGAGTATACATCGACAGTTTGGAGCCAAACAAAGAAAGGTACCGTCAACAAAATAGAAGTAGTCAGAGAGACATGCGGGTCCCAACGAGTCACTGGGGACTTCCAGTGTAACATCCATGCTTCAGAACCTGTGATGGCAGTCAATACAGACCAGAAAAAACATAGCACGTTTAGTTATGGTGTATAGGATAGTGTACCAACTAGTCGATGTAACACCAGACTCCTACCTGTAACAAACAAAACTGCACATTTCTGGCCATTCCATCAGATTCCTGATTCCACACACAAGAACATACAGGAATTCTGTCTTTTCATATACCATTAGACTATGGAATCTTACAAGGCACCATGGCCAAAATTGCTACAATAGAGAGCTGTAAGTCATTGTTGTCAAGGCACTTCACAAATTAAATTCCATCAGTTTTTGAAATTTTTAATAAGCACTGTAAATAGATGTTCACCCTCTCACAAAGTGTGGAGTAAGTACTGAATTGATGTCACCTTACTGATGATGGTAGGCAAACAAAATGCTACATTTCTAAATTTGACCCCCAAATTGCATATTTGCCAACATGTATTCTGTACACTTGTAAGTTAGATGGAAATATTTGTCAAGGGAAATGAAATCTTGAACTGTCCTGAGATTGATGGGATACACTCCAGGTACTGCATGTGGTGCAGGGTATGCATACCCTTCTGGAGCATCAGCTTGCATTATTTTGTCTTCAGCTTTTTTGTGGGGATTCAAATGTATTTATTTTTGCACATTCTAGTCTTGTTTAAGTGCAGCCATATATGTCGATTTTCAGATTTGGGTAAAAAATAAATCTGACTGGGTAATTGATATCATAGGTAGTGTTGAAAGTTTCATTCAAGTCGCAGCATTTTCTCATGGGCTATTACATGGAAATTATGTACTCTTCACGTAATCGAAGATGGCTGCTGACGGCCATGTTGATGTTCAGATTTGGTTTGCAATAGAACTTCAGCAGGTTTTAGGTATGTTGAAATATTTTCATGAAAATCAAAGCATTCCTTTCGGACTTATCCCACAGAAACCATTTGTACAGAAAATGCAGACAGAGAGATCTCTACATATCACCTTTGCCTTGAAGGTAACACAAAAATCACAAAGACTTAAATGTCAGTTACAATTGTTTTAATCATCTTTCAAAGCAGTTGCCCAAGCTTCGCTGGAAGGGTCAGAGGGTACGACAAATCCATCTGGTATTCTAGTGCCACCTGGTGTTCTGTCTGGTACCAAAAACATGTCCCAATCTCTTCTGAAAAAATACAACATCAGGTCAGTGTGAAAATCCTATAGATGACATACAAAGTGCAACAATTCGGGACACAAGTAGCACTTTCCCCCATTTTTCCCTTGAACATCTTGTTTTTAGTAAATTCTCTCTTGTCAACAACTGTGTTTGAGACACAAGGATGCTGCACATTTGTAGTTCACTGCAATTTACACTTGTTAAACTCAATTATATTACAATAGAACCAAATAGGGGTAGTTTTTATATACAATCAAAATATCAAGGTAAGCTGCAAAGTAGGACTAATGTGTTTTGCCTATTACTTTGTTATAACAGTTGCAGAATTTTTTTCCATTCCATTTTTATTTAATATATTATAAGACTTTGAGTCAGATTCTGATATTGAAATACCCAGAATTATTTTCAAAGTCGGCCTATTTTCAAGACAGTCTTATTTTTGAAGTAATTTAGACAGTAAGCCAATTACTAACTAATTAACAAAAAATCCTGATGCCGTATTTTGAGCTCTTTCTATTAGGTCAGCCTACTTCTTATCCAAGTGATCCAAAAGTAGCCACAAAAGTTTGATGGTATATGTTACAACTTGGTAGAGTCGAACCATTGGATAGGTTGAATATTTGTATTGGTTATGAGGACTTCAACCTATCAAGTTTTACTGTATGTTATACAGTACCTTATCTGTAGAAAAGCTTCTAATGTCTGGTTAGCTTGATCATAGTACTGGAAATAGGGAAACAGGGGGTCATCTCCTTGGATGGTTTCTGAAATCAAATAAATTCATCATAAGGTGAAAGAATTTCATTAATTCCGAAGATTTTTAGAAATATTGAAGGATTCAATGGATAGAAGGACACTATATATAGTATTAACCCTTTCAACCCTGTGTAACTTTAGTAGACTCGACAATGCATTGATCTGGACGAGTCCATTATGGTCTCCAGTTGTAAAAGGGTTAAACTTTTTGTGTAAAAGTTAAGTACAGTATAACGAAATATTTACAGCTGTCTAATGATTTATATACAAATTGTAGTATCTTTACTCTAGTTTCTGACTTGTTGTGACTGTCAAAGAATGTTTGAAGTACAGATACATGTACATTTGTAGCTAATGAGATGCTCTGATTGGGCTTACTTGTAAGTTGAGACAGGTGATATTTGTAGCAGTGTTTACTGAAGTTTCTTTATAGGTGCTGTGACTTATCCTGTTTATAGTCTCTTTAGTTTCTGGTAAAACTTTTGACTATGTTTGTAGTTTCTTTATTCTAGTTACTGAGATGTTGTAATGGTTGTAGTATCTTTACTCTAGAAAATGAACGGTTGTGACTAAGCACAGTTCTGTAGTTGAAGCATTAATGTTATTACTTTAATATCAAAGCACACATCTGTAGAGTCTGTTGAGCAATATTTTTCAAACAATAAACAATGCAAAAATTACTATACAATACTGGCTCATGTCTTATTTATTTCTCTACATATGAACAAAGATTAGTACAGACTAGAATCCTTAAAAATATCTTCTATGTTGTAACATTTTTAAGTTTTGATTTTTTTCATATCTTACCACTAGGTCCAAACATTTTAATATTCATTTTTCGTTCCTCTCTCTCTGCTTTCAGTTTCTGTATTTTCTGTAGACGCTCCCTCTCTTTCTCCTTTGTTTCTTCCTGTTCTACCTCCAACATTACCTGTAAAATTGAACGTTAATATATTTTTATTACTTATGCATATAAAGTATCTTCAATAAAATTCATCAGTTCGGAAATATGTTATATCAAAGTTTCACTTTATACACAAACAATGCACATATTAACTGTGTTGCAACGTTTCAAGACCGACTGGTCCCTTTATCAAGCTATGAGTGAGTCCATTTTTTGTGTATAAAGTAAAACTTTGATATTATATTTAAAGTACTTTTACCAACTACGGCTTGATTTACTTACTAGACATGGTATTAATCTGGTTTCCTGAGGGATGTATCATGCTGGTAAAACTATACGCAGACACAAGCCTCATAAATAAAGTTAACATTAATTTTTTTGTTTGTTTGTTTGATTTTGTTTAACGTCCTATTAACAGCTAAGGTCATTTAAGGACGGCCTCCCCTGTGTGCAAGATGCATGCGTGTAGTGTATGTGTGTGTATTTTGGGAGGCTGCGATATGTTCGTGTTTGTCTTCTTGTAATAGCGCGGAACTGATGCCAACTTTATAGTGCTACCTCACTGAAACATACTGCCGAAGTCACCCAAGCGCATTAGTAAAATACTCTATAATGTTTATTCTGTAAATAATCACTTCGTTGTAGCTATTTTCTACTGACCACATAATTCAAAATTGGATGAATTGCTTGTCAGTAGAAATGGGATATAACTCTTGTGAACTTATGAATTTTAACATAATAGCAGTGAATATTTGAGTCTTGGGCCATGTTCGTTTATGCGAAACAACCTGTCTGTCTGTTTGTAAATATAACATTTTCAGGAATAAATCCTGGCGCACCTACAAATGTTAATGCTGACCTGGTAAGGCTTTGTCAAGGCTCGCTTGAAAGCAGCATCAGGTTAATAGTTGGACCAGAGTTGTTTGTTTATGAAATAGGAATGGACCTAGTGATCTAATGTTGCTTTCTGGCAAGCCTTGACAAAGTCTTGACAAGACCTGCGCTAAAGGGTAAAACTTTATTGCTGTAATATCACATTGACAAAATTACGCATCTCTTTCTGGACATAAACAAACAGGCCCAATGAATTGCCCTAAAAACCGATCAACGAAATTCTCTGTTTAGGTCAGTACTACTGACAGAATCAACCTTCTGACACACCTGTACCAATGGAACAATTAAATTCTAGACATTTGTGAGATAAAAGTTGTCAATCAAATGCTAGTTATACCATTTGATATCCAATCATCAATATATGTACATCGTTAAATGCATTTTTATTCAGCAATGTAATGGTATCTTTGGTAACTGTCTTATGAAAAGAAATTGTGAGAGATTTCTTCTCTTACAACAAATCAAAAGTTATGTTACATTGAATTAAGTACCTTTAGAGTTTTTTCCTCTGCAAGGTAGACCTCTTTCTGTGATTGCATCACTTTGATCTGCTGTGTCGTCTGCTCCTCAAACTTGAGGTCACTACCAGTGGGTACAGTGATTCCTGAAAACAAGCCATGTAGTAAAGTTATTTGCTATTTAATCTAGTTTTCTTCTATTTTTACGTAATATGCAAGCTACCCATTTTCCATTTTGGACACCCAAGTGAGATTAATGGAATCTTTCCCCCCATCGAAGGTAATATTGGAGAATCGCAACTAAATGGGAAGATGTGTGAAGTGTTTGGAAACTTAGGAATCTTCCCCAAAAGTTTGAGATCCCCTCCACCTCATCCCAAAGGAGACAGGTTTTTTTGCCAGTTATTTTGGGAAAGGGCCCCTTAGCAGGAATTGGGGAAAATATCATCAGCATTTGGCAAACATTGGGAAATTTCATCAGTGTTCCCACATGTACAGGGTTGGGAAAATATCATAAGTTGCGAAAAAACAAAACATACAATTTGATTTGCACAACGTTTTCCTCTAGCTGTTTCTTACAGTAAAATATATAGCAATAATTGAACACATCAATTTTCAGTGTTTTAGTTTATCCAATTTCAAATTTTTGTTATTTATATAATTTGAATGCTCCTTCATGGACGGTAATATTTTGAACGTTGTAAATAAAACGACTGGAAACTTGTATGAACATGCTTTTTAATCCAATAGGGATAATAAAGACTGAAATTGGGAAAATGCAGGGTCATTTTTCAAATGGGAATGGGTCCTTTTACCGAACCCTATAAACACCTGGCAAACACCCTGGGAGATAAAGATTATCTTTCTCTAACACAGTTGGCTCTGTCTTATTTGCAATATTGACATCAATGCATTGCTGATGTGACATTACACAACTGTCATAACTGGGGAATCCCTTCATCTCTACCCTAGGGCAAGATAAGGATTTATGCATGGAAGACAGTCTTTGTTAATTTATATATTGTTTCAATAGCTATGTCAAAGATTAAAAAAAAGTTCTTTTTACACAACCAACTTTTCAACTTGTTTTTACAAAAAGAACTTTTCATAATCCATACTTACCAACCTGAAGAAAATGTTAAGAAAAAAAGGCTATGTCAAAGGTCGTAGTATTTTCAAATCCTTAGTTAAAGGGCGAAGGAAAAAAAGGTCAATCATAATTTATATAAATGAATCAATTTTATTTATTGCCAATATAATAATATAGAACAATGACTGCCTGATGGTGCATTGAGGTAGTTTCCAAGTTTTACAAGTGATTAGTAAATATACATATATACAAGAGAAAGTAATGCAAAAAGCATCATTCTGAGAACAGTCTTATTTTCATTTTATACATTTGTAAGAAAGTTAAATTAAATTATTTTTACTTGCAGGATGCTCTCATATTATTTTGCATGCAAAAAAAAACAAGAGTGAAAAGCACACGTGACCAAAGAGAATTAAGAACCTTGTCTAGACAGCCTATCCTTTCTGAGTTTTCGTAGTTTCTGTAGACCTTTGAGCAGATCTATGGTCTTGACAACATCTGCTATCTTCTTCCTGACCTCACTAAGTATGGAGTCTGCAGCAGCCTTCAGCTCTTTCTCCTGCAAAATAGCAGTAACATATCATGACCCAACACATACATGTACTGATAAACTTTAAATATATAGGTTCACTAGATTTTAGACATGCAGACACAATATATTTAGTTCTAGTCCAGATTTTTCAAAAGAAAGAGCTCATAAGTTTTGACTTGTTAAGTGATTTTCATTTTCTTGCCAGTCCTTTATGCCAGTCCTTCTTCCATAAGTCGACAATCTGCTGTGAAAATTTGATTTCAATCTACGTTTCATTATAATGGCGGAATAAGAAGGAATTTTAAGGGCAAGATCCCCCTTTCTCCAACATCCCACTGAGTGACAAACAATATCTCTACCCAGCTACTTATACAGATATTGGAGAATTGGAAACAGAATATATCATCACCTGCTTTTTGTTTAATTCTTCCTTCTGTATTCTGGCCTGCCAGTTGTCAACCCTCTGATGCGTCTCCTCCCTGTCAGCCATCTGCTGCTGTCGGTCTTCATAACTCTCTCTCCTTATCTCCTTCTTCCTCAGCTGCACAATAAATTGATAGTAGGCAAAATGAGACATTCGATAAATTAACACTTTTGTTTTTTAAAAACCACTCGTCAGTCGGGCTAGTAGTTTCCAATTCTACTAGTCCATGTGCAAAATTCAACTATAAACTCAATATTATTAAACATGTTAAGAACATTTTGACTAGTCAATCGGGTTAGCTGTTTTTAGAATCACTACTCTAGCAAGAGATTTCAATAGTCTCAGACTATAAGGCTACCCTTATTGTCTAGCCCTGTGTCACTAGTCTCAGACTATAAGGCTACCCTTATTGTCTAGCCCTGTGTCACTAGTCTCAGACTATCAGGCTGTCCTTATTGTCTAGCCCTGTGTCACTAGTCTCAGACTATCAGGCTATCCTTATTGTCTAGCCCTGTGTCACTAGTCTCAGACTATCAGGCTATCCTTATTGTCTAGCCCTGTGTCACTAGTCTCAGACTATCAGGCTATCCTTATTGTCTAGCCCTGTGTCACTAGTCTCAGACTATCAGGCTATCCTTATTGTCTAGCCCTGTGTCACTAGTCTCAGACTATCAGGCTATCCTTATTGTCTAGCCCTGTGTCACTAGTCTCAGACTATCAGGCTATCCTTATTGTCTAGCCCTGTGTCACTAGTCTCAGACTATCAGGCTATCCTTATTGTCTAGCCCTGTGTCACTAGTCTCAGACTATCAGGCTATCCTTATTGTCTAGCCCTGTCACTAGTCTCAGACTATCAGGCTATCCTTATTGTCTAGCCCTGTGTCAGTAGTCTCAGACTATCAGGCTATCCTTATTGTCTTGCCCTGCACCATTGGAACAGTCCTGCTTACAAGCAAGTTTTGAAAGGACATTTAATGTTTACAAAACCCTATTTTAACCCTTTTAATTCTAATATCATTGATGAATACATTCCCATTATTTAATCGGCCTGTCTTTTACAACTTTCTCTCAATGTTGTATTACTTTAGCAAGATTTTTGCTTAAATGAGGATAAGGATGGCAGGAGAATCAGATACTGTTTTCATTACTATTTTAACAATTTTTGTTTCCATAGAGTAGGAACTGGCTTGAAAGTGGTTTGCTGTGTTAAAGCATGAAAGGTATTTCTTGCTTGTATCTTTGTTGATGTAACAAATTATAAAGTAAGTTAAGAACAGTACCAAAGAAATTGGTAAAATGAAGGTTTGTACAAAAAGATATTTGTACTCGAAATAAAATTTAGTCCATAAAAGGAAAAGATAAAGATAGGAATTCTTATCTATTCAATGTTCCTTTTGCTGACAACAAAGTAGAAAAACTCTTCTAAAAAGCAGTTTTGCAGAGTCCCCTTAAAAAATGCTTTTCAGAATCATAAAGCAAGATAGAGCAAGATACAGCAAGAAGATTAAGAAGAAATACAGTATCAATAACCAAACAGAAAAACAAAAATTTGACAAAATAACATAATTGTTCAAGTATGATGATCAAATTACAGGTACATTTTTTCTAAAAGTGGTAGCACTTAAATTTTATACATTATACTTTACACATGACCTTGAAAGGGGCAAAATCCAGTATCCAGTCACTGGACTGAACATTTTGATGTAAAGACAGTTGATGGATTGTAATACTGTATCTACTATCCCTATATCTATCATTGTCCAGGTTTGTGACCGTAATTTGATATCTCTCACATTTTTCAAGAATGAGAGCTAAATAAAAAATATTGACGAGTGAGATAAATTCAAACTAATATAATACTTCAATTTTTTCTATTTTTTTTTTTTTTTTTTTTATAAGAAGATTTACTGCTGCTTACATAAACAAGAAAAAGAAACAGTTGAAATATTAATTACGCGAACACAATACATAAATTTGGCTTGGTTACAAAATCAAATCTTAAATATTTCTTAAGTAACTGTTTGATTCAAAAGGATATATATTAGATGACCAGAAGGGTATGCCAACTCTGGGCTGTAGGCAACCTCAGTCATAAAGTAGACTTTGGTCTGATAGGTTTACTGAAAATAAGAGAAATGCCATTAATATAGTCTTTAATTAGCCTTTCTTTGTGTGCTGAAGATAAAGGAAATTGTGCAGCGAGACAATTAATGGATAAATATATCAGTTACACATTTAATATAAAAAAATTGTCAAATCATTTAGGAATCTCAAAAAGAACAACTCTGCAAAGTCATAGCATTGTTGCCAGTAAATGTCTACAGTAAGTTCACTAAAATTGATCAAATACATGGAAAGGTTGACCATAGGGTAATTAACTATACCCTTTTCTTTCTCCTTTTTGAAATTCTCTGTTGTAGGTCACTAAGCATGGCTTCATCTGTCATCACCTCTTGGTGCCGTTTCAGTTCATGCTGAAAAGAAATATATATTGGCAATTATGTACATGTACTAAAAATGTGCTCCATAAACACATTTCTGAAATAGTTCAATTTTGACTCTCTGTAATATACAAAGATAGTTCATAATATAACTAGTGTATTTTAAGATAAAATAAATTTTCAGTAAGGTCTTTATGAACATTTTGTTTGGAGGAATTCATTGAACGGGGATGGGAGTCATAAAATATATTTGATCATTTAAATGGAAGAAAATTTGAAATCTTTCATTAAGCTTTTTATCACCAAAATAACTACATGTATACCAAACTCAATAATATTATATTCGAGATACATACCTGTAATTGTGTCGCTTTTTCAGCATGAATTTTCCATTCATCACTGTCAACTGTTAGTGATTCCAAATAAGCAGTCTCCTGTTTCAACTTTGCTAAAAGGAAAACCATCTGTTTTACTCGTTCTTGTGCCTCACAAATCTGAAAGATGTAATAGTTGGGCATTGAATGAAAACAATAAAGTATACATTGCCAGATTTAAATAAAACCAGACAACTACTTTCAACATTTATTTAGTGCATGTTACTGTTATCTGTATCAAATTTTGAATTATCAGTATTTTTTTCCTAATCAAAATCAATCAAAATCATCAACTCTTTCCAGATTTTTATTAGACAATAAGAAAATCTCATATGTTAATAACTTCATTTCTTTAATTTTGTTATTTCAAAGACTATAAAAGGATTAGAAAAGAAACATGATGGATGCAGGCTGTTAGACTCCTTGTCCATATCAATATCTAACATTTACATAAAATATACCATTATTTAACTGTACACAAATTATACATGAATATCATGACCAAGAATGGTTCTCTTTAAAAATGCTTCTGAGCTTGATTTAATGGCTTTACAAAGATTGGATATCAATGTCATTTAAATCTTGGGGTTATGGGTTAATATTTAAAACATTAATAACGTTTCTACATGCTTAACTTGTCACACCACACATTTATCTGAATAATAACTTACACATTTCATCATTCTGCAATTTAACAGACTGAAGGTGAAATTAAAGAAGAGAATGTACATAATGTTATGATTCTGATTGGATAGAGAATCATGCTAGTTGGTATCATTATCAACATGATCAGTACATAAATCCTGCTGAACACCATTATTTATGTACTGATCATGTTGATAATGATACCAATTGCATGATTTTAACAACATGGGTTTGGTAACTTTGTAAGAAAAATTTATATATCACATCCAGTTTGGACGTGTATTTCTGTGCATTCTGCTTCTATGAGGAAATGTTTAATTCTAATTTTCTCTTAAACCACAACTTCACATGAAACAACATTTATAAGAAATTCAGGACTTTTTCTCAATATTTTGGGAAAGGTGCCCATTGCTTTAGATTTTGGAATTTGTGATGCAGTAAACCATATGGAATTTTCAGAATCATACCACATACCATTGTTTAAGTATTCTTTTAAAGACTAAAACATCCTTATTTATTAAAGATAATTTGATTTTAGATGTTGTTTGTTGTATTTTTATCTGAATACAAACTGAGAAATTGAACAAATAATCATTTTGCAATTGGGAAATATAGGCAACATGTACATTTTCTTGTGGGAACGGGACAAAGTGTTGGCTCCAAAATGACACCAGAAAAAAACACCTACATTAAATATGAAATGATCAGTTTCACTTTCAGCAACTGAATTATTTTATATTAGTTCAATACATATACTAACTTTCAGAGTTTTACTGCATGCAAGCTCTGAAGATGATTTAGTTAGTTGCTCTTGCGATGACTTCCCTATTTGCCCGAGCCATCTATTAACCCATTCCTGACTTGCTTCCTTTGTTATGATAAGTTTTTTGTTCTTTTCTCTGTCATCTTTAGTAAACTGTTTCTGATGTTCGACAAAACTTTGAGAATCAAGCATTTGATTTTTAATGATGTCGTAATTAGGAGGAAACTGTCTAGAGTCATAGGTAGGTGGTGGAAAATTGCTCATTCCAGTTCCAGAATAATTTGCAGGAGGATAAAAGCCTTTCGTGTTTGATTGTTGCATTTCTTGGGTTTTTTCTTCACTGTGCTGTATCCATTGTGGATTGCCAAACTGTTTTTGTTGCATCTGGAGAAAATCTGGGACATCATTTCTTGCAAAACTATTCGACAGTCCTGAACCTTGTAATGAAGTATTTTGTGTAGGATCTCCAGAGGCCTGTTGATGGATATGTGACACTGGGTGCTGAAAGGGAAAGTCTTTTTGTAATTGTAGATTGTCAATCCTTGGAGGCGGGCGACTGAATCCACTTTGATTTTGTGGATTTATCCTAGGAGTACTAGGACTGAACGGCGGGTTAGGGTGGAAATTTAGGTTCTGTTGTGCCTGTTGCTGATGGCTCCCTGGCGGTATGTTTGGAAATGGTGGGTTAGGTGGACTGAACATCCGGGGTTGATCTTGTGAAAATCTTGGGGGTTCACCGTGCATGTTTCCATAGCCATGCATTGGAACATTTTGGAAGTCATTTCCTAAATGTGGTGGTCGAACAGTAGAATTTGGGGATCTAAATCTACTATCATTGGGTTGATACCTTCCCTGCATCATGAACTGAAGTGTTTGCTTGCATTCAGAACGTCACAAAGTATATTTTGTTATTGTTCTTTTTCTACTTGAGGTCCCTTCCCACCATTGTCGGCCATGACAGATCTCGCGTGAAATTGTGAGCGAGAGTTTCTCGTTATATTGCTGGGCTACATTCGCGTTACCGGTTGAAACGGTACGTGTGGCGCAGAAATTTTCCACGATAAACGAACACACTTGGACCGTTCTATAAGCAGAGCTAAAAATCCACAGTTTCGGAGAATAAAAAAACAATGTATCAAGAATATTATGCCCTTCTCTCACGCGTCCACTAAATTACATAACGTATCTTAAAAACTACATGTGGCTTGACATTGTTTTAGAAAGAAATAACGCAAACTAGCAATATTCAGCAGTTTAGTTTCGGCCAGGTACGTCTGAACCCCTCAATCTACACTTACCAGATTTTCCTGAGGTCAGCCTCGGTCCAAATCTGTACCTGTCGTTTTCTTTACAGGTTCAACCGGTTCAACCGTTTCAACCGGTAACGCGAATGTACTTTTGGTAAGATACAATATCATTTTCGTGTCACTTCCTGTATTATTTATTTTTATTTGAAATTATCGCAAAAACGTGTATTTTTGAGATTTTAACATCCTTTTGGCTAAAACAAAAAAATAAATAATCAAGTCACGTGATATAAACAAAGAAGATGGCGACTGACAGCAGAGGGTCACGTCTGCTTTCGGATTTAAATTCTGCTTTTCGCCGAGATCCTGACATGTATGTTTTAAAAACATTAACTTTTATCAGATTCGATGTTTATGTTATTCTATACTAAATGGCTACATATGTTTCAAATGTTGTTATTATCTAATATCACGAAATGATGTCATCCATATTTTCATGCTCATATAGGCCTATGTATGTGTAAGTCTGGTGTTAGGGTCAGAGAAAACTACAAGATACATGTACAAGAAACTTTATTTTTTGTCGTATATGTGTAGCGTGAAGAGCTATTCTTACGACAGAACATATGAAAATAGCACAGTGAGCATAATGTAACAAAACACGCATTAAGAAACCAAAGAACAACAAAATTGAAATAAAAGTATACAAACATGCACTTATGCAGGAAGAAAAACAAGCTCATAAAACAGCACACACAAAGATAAGACTATATTTAACTATAATCAGATATTCATTAAAAAATAAAACTATGAGATTATTTTTGATTATGATATTTGAGTGTGACTGAGTAAAATATGTTTTGTTACAATTTCTAAATAATTATCAAAAATTTAAATATACATGTATGTAAAATACAATTAAGTCTTTTAAGATTCTGATTTCTTATGCTAATTCAGTAAAATAATTTAGCTCAAAGGACAGGTGATCTGGAATCTCCTACCTACCAGGTCCTTTGGCCATAGAAAAAGATATATTAATAAGTTGAATAAGTTAAAGCTAGAATGAAGCACATATATATAACACAAAATATAAACAATGCAGTGCGTATCAGAGCACCTCAGCACATAAAATCAGAGGACAGGTGATTGGGCATCCCCTACCTAACAAGTCCTCTGATAATGAGCAATAATTATATTAAAAGCACATAAAGCATACAGAAATTAAAGATAATGAGAACATACACTGAATTTAAACAGAAAACATTTAAAGCACATTTAAAACATAATAAAAAACAGTGGACAGGACAAATAATTCAGCAGACAGTTTTATACAGATACAAATGTAGTGCATGTACAAATGGGGCCATCCAATGTGTGAATCAGCCTCCGGAATTCTGGAAAGTATTCGCATTTCCGTAATTCATTTGGTAGGCTGTTCCACACCCGGGCTGCCCCAAAGAGGAATGTTTTTTGTCCATACCTGACAGAGCTTACTGCTAGGATGTTAACTGTCTTTTCATTCCTGAAAGTGTAAGAAGTCTCTTTTAGTTTGATTAAACCCTGTATATATTCAGGAGATATTTTATGTACAATCTTAAATACTTTACATCCCATACTCTTGAGTCTATTTACATGGTATACATAAAAGAGTGGTGTTGGAGGACTTTAAAAGTTGATTAAAAGATGAAACATAGTCGGACTACACAAATCTCAGCTCACGCTCCTGGATCTTCTCCATCTTTCTCATACTTTCCATATACTACCAAGGTAGTAAAATGCCATACCAGGGGACAGAAATTAAAAATTTGACAAAGTAAAAGAATTGTAATAATTTGTTTCTCTTGCTGGGTTAAAAATCCTCCAATTCTTTTTAAGAACATTTAGTTGTCTGGAAGCTTTCACACAGATATCAGTGACATGTATATCAAAATTTAAAGGGGAATCAATTTTGATTCCTAGGAATTTCACAGATTTTTCTGGCTTGATGGCTACATCATTAATGCTAAAAGATTTCAACTGGTTTCTTACCAATGCAAAAGAGCCTGAAATTTATCTGGATTTGCCCTCGTGTGATTATTTTGAAACCAATTTACTAAATTACAACAATCAGACTCTTGATATTTCTTTATTTTTTGAGGGTCTTTTTTAGAGGAGCTGACTTTATTGTCATCTGCATAATTGTAAAGTTTAGATGACTTCACATAAAAGAACATGCCTATAATTGGGCCCTGGGGAACCACTTTAAGCACTTACAACCAGTCGCTGCATTTGGAGCCAAGCTTAACCTGTTGTACTCTGTCACTCAGATAGCTGGATATACCAGGTCAAGTAAGCCACTGCTCACACCATATGTGTCCAGCTTTCTAAGTAACAGATCATGACGAAGATAGTCAAAAGCTTTAGACAGGTCCATGAGGATGGCAGCGACATACTCAGCCTTGCGCCAATCCTCAACTAATCTTAACAGGGTAGTATGACAGCCAAAACCTGGTCTGAAGGATGCTGAAAAGAAATTAAAATGGTACTAAAATATTCAGCAAGCTGGTCACACATGGTTCTCTCAAAAAGTTTGGAAACACTGGGTAATATGCTTACAGGCCTGTTGTTTTGTTTATCCATAGTGTCTTTCTTTTTAAAAATGGGGACAACCTGTGCCTCCTTAAGCCGATTTGGAAAGACATTTACGTTAAAACTGTAATTAATAATATTGCACAGAGGGTCGCTTATGCTTTTACTACAGGCCTTCAGTAATTTCGAGGAGATACCATATTGACACCAGTTGCCTTTTTAGTATGAAGTGCTGAAATGCTCTTTTTCACATAATTCAGTGATTTATAGGTTAAAACCCGGGCTACTTCCTGTGTAAATATACATGTACCAGAAACTTGATGTGGGAATGTGATTTTTTGTATATTTATATTTATTACTGTACTAAATATGTAAATACATTGCAGACAAGACCTCCATTTTTAGTGACAAATGCTACAGAGCAATTTTAATGTTTTCATTCTGGATTTTCACTGTTAAAGCAGGACATCTTTTCCCTGGAAACTATGAAAATCTTACAAACAAGGGACAATGAAGGGTGATTCCCAACCTGTTTAATTGTATTATGAACCTATGTGTCTTCTATAAAAAAAAAAGGTTTTGTACCTTGTTATAAGTTGCCTATATTTTGGCAATATAGTTATGCTACAGTTCTCTGTAGTATTCCCCATACTGGTCACAAAGTGGATTGATCCATTGCCCTGGTTTCTCTCTGGTTCCTTAGTTTATAGATTGATCCATTGCCCTGGTTTCTCTCTTGTTTCTTAGTTTATAGATGAGATTTTCCTTCAATTCAAGCAATGCTTTAAATTTCCCTTTTGGTAAATTTATGTTAAAGAAAAAATCTGAGACAAGGACTTACTCCACTATTTCATGACATGTTAGAGTGTTTAAAGGCAAATACTAATTGAATACAACTGTACATGTACATTATGTAGATGTCTGAATAAAACAGAAATACCTCCATGGTGTATGATTGCTTAAACTTGTATAATGCAGAATTCACCGTTTAACTAAAGGTTATCAACAGCAATGATTCCTGTTTAAGTTTATGTCATGTCATAAGTCCAGGCCCAGAAACTGTCAAAGTATTGCTTGATGTTTTTAATTAATCATTTCATCGGTAGGAAATAACACTAAGTGATGCATTTGAAATTCTTTAAATTTACTTGACAGTAAGATAAAAAGCATTATAAATATTATTCTTTATGTAATGACACATTCTGAATTCCCTTTTTGTCCATCTCAAGGCACTGGCCCCATGGTCTGTTTTAAACTTGTTATCATAAAAGATCAATTACCAAGATAGCATGCTGGTATTAATATATATTAATAGATAACACAAAAGCCTCACAAAACTGCTATTTTAATGGTGATATTAATTTCAGGTTTTTTTCTTCCTTAATTTTACAGCAGCCTGTCTTACATAAATTGGGAAAATATAGAAAAAGTTTGATAGAAATTGGGAAGATATTCCTCATTTTCATTTTTTTGGGAGAAAATAAAACACTTTCTTGCAAGGGTAAGCAGCCTGTATTTGGCTGTAAAACTAGGCAAAATAAAAATCACTGAAATTGAGGGACACAGGCAAAGGATATTTTAAGAAAAACAGGATATTGACAAATATGTTGAAATAAAGGATCCCGATCCGCGACATTACCCATATATGGATTAAGTTTTTTTCAGTATTTTAATTATAGCAGAAATTTGAGATATTATCTTCAAAGACAAACTAGATATATACAGCTTTACTCCTCAACTGCTTGTACTGATTACATGTGTATGTGTTTTTCAGTGATGAGTATGATTTCCTGCCAGTTTTGGAGCCTAAACACAACCGAAGTCCTCTTCTCCTCCAGGAACATAAGCTTGGACTGGAGATGTGGAGCGTCAGAATTCTCTATGATCACGCCTATAATACACTTATGGCTTGGCGCCAAAAAGAAGCACATGCCAAATTTCTTGGTACATTTTTTCATCATTTAACAATTATTTATCTTGAGGCAATCACTAAGGAGATTACAATGATTGTTTGAGTTTTGCATAGGATTTTCCGTAAGATAATTAAATCTATAACATACAATGATTAATTAATTTCAGCCACTGGAATATTTCCATCTTCAATGTACTTGGTACATGTATTACTATGAAATATTTGCAGAACAATAAAAATGTTATCTAAAAAAATGTGTGTTTGGGATCAGTTTAAGATAAAAAAAAAAGTACTGGGTTTATGTATACCATGGTAAAACATAGAAAAATCATATCAAATGATAGAGGGTTTTGTGATTTTTTTTTCATTTTATTCATATTGCAGAAACATGTTATGCAAGGGTTGGCCATGTGTAGATTATATGTAACTTAATTCCATTTTTAAAAAAAATCATTCATTTAAAAAGGTAATGTTTTAAATGATTAAAAAAATAACCCAAATTATCAATTATATAATCAACATTTAGTTTATATAAAATCCTATCGTTGAAACAATTGTATAGTTGCTAGTTATATTGATATTTTTTTTCTCTCTATAGTTTATTTAAGTTTAATTTCCTTTAAATGAAATTAAACACAAACTTCTGTATTCATTTCCCCCAGATCCATTTGACCTCATTAGTCTGAGCAGGGCAGTAGTTCTTGTCAATGCGGATTGTTTAACAGCTTGGAATATAAGGTATGTATATAGAGGCTACTTGTTGTAGGTCCTGATATGACTGGAAAAGGATTTCATTTTAATTTGATTCATTCGATTTGGTAGACCACTTGATATTGTCTAGTCTATTACTTGAATACCTGCATGCCGGCTGGTACGTGTAATAGAAACAACTTTTTTCTTTGTGCCCAAACTAAAGACAGCAGGTGTGTGTGCCCTAAGACTTTAGATTACTAGTTCAGTGGAAAATTCCTTCTAGCTTTCCTAGTCTTGCCAAATGACTAGATCATTCACTAGTTTGACATAAGTCTTTCCACAAGTGTTTTTAATGAATTTGGAATTTGTGCAGACAGTGTACTATATGTAAAATTAAGAATTTCTGCAAAACATGACTATATATTGGCAAGTCTTTGACATAATTTACACCAGTGTTTGACTGTTTGTAACGTCTTCCGTTGTTTATGTATCATATTTACAGTATCTGAAAGTGATATATCTGTTGCTTGTTTTACCTGATTTTTGAAGCCAATCAATATAATCTGTATTTATTTGCAAGAGTTATATAAATTATATTTATGTAAACAAATGTTAATAATTTGTCTGAGAGAAGAATATACAAAAACTGATTTAGCTGTAGATATTGCAATAACATATTTTTATGGTCAAATTCATCGTTTCCACATTTTTTTACACAGGAAAGAACTGGTGGAATCCTCAGATCTAAACCTTCTTGATGATCTGAAGTTTGGAGCGCTGGTTTTGTCTAGGCATCCTAAAAGTCCAGAAACATTCTGTCACAGGTATGTCAGGTCCAGTCAGTTCAGGTGATTCTGTGAATCGTAAAATCAGTATGATACATACTGTTAAATATTTATCAAACAAGTACATTTCAATTTTTTCATATACAATAACAAAAAAACAGCTTTCGATACATTTTCAGTGGTTTCCCAAAGAGATGAAAACTGAATATGTAGAGGATTTTAAATAAGTTTCCAATTCATTTGAGGTTACTGAAACCTGTTTCAAGCATTTTGAACTTTAGAGAGCCCTTGCCATGTCTATGTGATGCAGTAAAGTTGTCCTGGTTGTGATGTCACAATTGAAACAATGGGAGCACACAGCCAATCACAGTTTCATCAACTAAAGTGTTTTTAAATGTGGATTCATAATACAAATCATGTAATGAGTGCTACAACACTGATAACAGAGTACTTATTGTTTATTTTGTATTTTAAAATGTCTGGCTCTATTTACAAAAAAGCTACATGTGCCAACATTACAGCCTCTAGTAAATACAAAACAAGAAATAACCTATTTATAAGGATAGAACTAGTGCTTCATGGTAAGTATGTATGTAACTGATTGAACGTTGAAAACTTGCTGTTCAATCCTTATATTTAATTACATTCAAAATTTTAGGTATTATTGACCTTACTATAGATATTCCCTAATATTTTTTATATTGAAGTGTCTGTGTTACCAGTGCAAATGAGATTCCCGGAACAGAATAATGTCACTGAAATGTTTGCTTCTAACCATAATAATAATAATAAAATGCAACATTTGATATAGCGCCCTATCTAGTTAACATAAGCTACTCTAAAGCGCTTTACAGTACATAGATATACAATTCATTTAATTAGCATATACATGTACATTAATCAATACAATTTTGAGGAGTTTGCAGGTGCTGCCTTATCAGGCGCTTACTACTAGTCCTGTGCCACCTGGCTAACATCTCCCTATGTGTGCATGCCTGCATGTGTGCTGGAGATGTAATGTGTTCTGTTTGTAGCTAGTAGGACCGTGCTTCTAACGGCATCATTTATAGTGCCACCTCAATTGAATGCTACAACACAGATACCGCAACATCCACCCCAGACCAAGTTATTCTCCACCTGGGTTGCTGGAGTTGTGTGGGCAGGAGAAAAACACTTTCTCTGAATATCCATGCGTACAATGACTTCAGTGATCGAAGGAAGGCGGGAGTGTTAACCACTCAACAAATCCGCCCATAACTCATAGACTCAAATCAAGCACCAAAAACTTTATTTCAAGGATAATTAAACTTCAGTTATTTTAAAATAATTATGAGACAATTTCTATCAACTTATATGATAAATATGGTTGTCTCATGTAATTCGGAGTGGGAGGAGAAGCTTCAAAATTACGCTGATTAAATTGCATTCATAGCTCTATGAGCACAATTTCTTCTGTCAATGCTTATACCCTAATGATATTATGTTGTTGGTTTTAGGAAGTGGCTCCTCAGACGATATGTTGAGTGCTGCCTTAGTTCTAGCAATGGAAGCACAACCAGCACAGGAAGTTTATACAACGACTTTGTCAACATGGATGCCATAGACTTTGACCTGGAGGCAGAGGCAAATAACTTTCTTTTAATGGAAAATAACTTACACGGGATGAACCAACAAACAGACTTTCATGAAGTGATGCGTCGAGAGATGAACGTTTGTCGTAAGGCAGGGGAGAACTACCCTTGTAATTATAACGCCTGGAGTCACCGAAGCTGGGTCATACAGAACTGTTACAACTGTACCATACAGGTGATTGCTTGTCTGATATTTGTAAATGTAGTTAATCTTCCCCTTTATTGCTTTTCTCCATCAACCAATGCATTCCACTTTTCTAATTACTATCTGACGGGTACAAACAGAGAGGATTCAAGATTGGTCTTGACCTATCCATCATTTGGTGTCCATATGCTATTATAGAATAATAAAGACTGATTTGTACCCAACTTCAATGGTTGCATTTACCTCAATTTGCTTCAAAATAAACAAAGAGAGTTGCCGGGGACTCCAATTTTTGTTTTTGTATTCTTGGAGGAACCAAATCAATCTTACTTTTCATTTACTTTATGAAAAACAATTTTAAAGCCCTGAATTTCTCGGGAAAAGTATATTGTGATATATTGCAATATTTCCTTAAATATTGCAATGTACATGGCAATATGAAAAATTGCCCTGCAGTACATTCCTCTCCCAAATAGACATTAACTCCATCTAATATACTGATGTAAGTCAAACTTTAGGAAGTATAAAGGACAGGAAACTTTCGGAGGTATAAAGGACAGGAAACTTTCCGAAGTATAAAGGACAGGAAACTTTCTGAAGTATAAAGGACAGGAGTGGAGTAAACCTGATGAATAAATATGGATCTAATTCCTTAGTTTTGATTGGCTCGGCTTGTTAATTGGCTACAAAATAATAAACGTTTCAAACTTAGTCATATATTCATGTTATTAACGATTAACTTGAATATATTGTTTATGTTATGGAGATATAACACAAAAAACGGAGTGTACTCTAAATAAATGATTAGAGTACTATAGTGCTATAGCTCCATAACATGAAAATATATTCAAGTTAATCCTTATAATTTAATTTACTATACACAATCCCTGTGGAAATCCACTTTTATTGATGGACTCTTTTCTCTTAGAAATTGTTACGCCGCTGTATCAGCCAATCAAAAGCGATGTTACAAACGGCTATGTCATTTTTTACGTTATAGGCTGATAACATAATTTTTTAAGCCAATTATAATGCTTGTTACCAGCAAGATTAAGTTATAGCCATATACCTATACTATTGTGATTTTTTCTTCCTGATTGCTCAGGTGTTAATTGGAGAACTACATGTAACCGAGGCATGGGTGAGACAACATATTTCGGACCACAGTGGGTTTCACTACAGACAGTATCTCCTCACCAACATACACAAACAGGCAGACATTCTCAAGGAGCAGTTCTCACTCAACTACAAGAATCTCATTCACAAGGAAATGCAAATTGTTGTTGACCTACTGAAGTCCTTCTCTGGCCATGAAGCTATTTGGTACCACAGGTAAGTGACATCAATGGTTTCATAAAACTTGATTAAACAGAATCAAAATTGTCTGGTTTTTAGGACACCTTTGATACTCATGTTCATCCTTAAGAATTAACTAGATTAAACATCTAAATTGGGATATTTTGTAAGAAGTAAGATTTTGATTGAGCAATTTAGCATACAAGTCATATTTTTCACTATGTAAAATCATTTAAGAAATTGTTTATGGAAAGGAAAAAACACTTTTGCAAAAAAACGTTCTCCTATAGTAGCTGCAATTACCCGAGTCGATGTTGGTTGGATTTTGATTTTCATATACCTGGTTACACATTAGATATGCACTACGGTATACAACAGTATACCTGTAGTTATAGGAGTTAACTCCCTTTAAAAAAATTTGAAAGCATTATTTAATTTTACCTTCTAAATGTCATCAGTGATTAAATAAGTTAAATTCAATAATAGTGTTGTTTGGAACTCATTTGTAAAGGAGATTTACGTCACAGTGATGTAGCATATATCCTTAATACTATTTACAATGTTGAAACACCATAAATCGATCATTTTCAAAATTAAGTATACTACGGATATTAAATGAAATCTTCTTATATGTACATTATATAATTGAGTCCCTTTTTCTTTAAATAAAACTATAGAGAAATGATGAACAATCTTTTTACAGGAGGTATGTGTTCCAAGCTCTGTGTAAAGTGTGTGATTCAGAGGCTGTTGCTGTAGAAATTATATCCTTGCCGGATGGTTATGATCAAGATCTTCCCATTAAAACCAGTCAGAAGAAAACCAAGCTTGAAAATGAGCGACAGGTTCTGTTGTTAAAGGAAGTTGACTCGGTGTCACGAAACCATATGTCTAAGAAAGACACTTTCCAGAAAGGCCTGGCACAAAAGTACCTGGACTGGGTGCAGAAGTCGTGTCGTAGCTGATAGTAATGGGTATCTAGTCATGTAGATAGAGTAGGCCTCAAAATACTCTGGCTTCTCCTCGGCACTCACTCATCTTTAGGATGTTTGACCTCTTAACTTGGGCTTCATCCCATCAATGAAAAAAGTCACAATTTGAATGCTTAATTTTAGGATTTGATTTGCCTCTTTGCAATGAGTGTCAAAGAGATTTTTATAGCATTTATCAATTTTAGGATTTGATTTGCCTGTTGGGAACAAGTTTCAAAGACATTTTTCAGCATTTTTATAGATCTAACATGGTTCCAGTTTTCATATAAATATTTTTCGTAAATAAATAAGTCCTTTTTGGCTTTAAGTGTAATTTGATTAGATCTAAAAACTTCCAAAATAAAGCACTGTTTTGATTGTAGGAAATGATGCTCAACTCAAATAGAAGTGCAGACATCTTTTTGGAATCCAGGCCATGCCCTATACCATCAGTATTAACCAAAAATCTCGAACAGGGCCTGCGAGTAACAAATTCTATTAAAATGTAAATATTTCATTTTTGTTTTGTTTTTTTCTAATGTAAATTTGAGCTGTGGTTGAGGTTTATTGAAAAATGTGGAGAGATTGAAATATAAGAGAACTGTTCCCGAGGGAAAGGGTCATAGTAGATTTAGTACATCACATGACTGTTGATAATAAAAAGACAAACATGAGGAACTTCATTGATAACATATTCAATAATTAACAACAGCTGGAAATTTGATTGTAACATTTGAAGTTTTGATTCATGAGTTGTTGTTAATTGTAACGGTACAATTACTAAAATTGAAAGAAGGTGCACAAACAATAGAATGTCTAAATCTCTGCCACATAATGGTTCTTGTAAGTGCTGCCGCAAACCTTGCCTGATGGCAATAAGAGAACTTTTTGAGTAGATCTCTCCTTTTTTGTTGTGTATGATGGCATAGAAATCGGCCAAAACACCGTTCAATTCTCTGGATTGAATCACTGCTAGGTCACATACGGTTTCCCTTTCCAGTATGAAGTCTTTAAGGACTGCAACGGAAAAGTGTGTCGCCTGCTTCGTCTTTATGCATTGCTGAATCTCTGCGAAGCAATCGGCATTCCCGGTCCCGAATCTCGAAGCCATTTTGGCTGACGACAACAATGAAGTGAAAGTAGAAAATGTACAGTGCTCCCTACTAGAAAGGGCGCAACTCTTAACGTCACGCTACTTTTCCCGCAGTCTCAGCGGTCCAAAAAAAAAGGTATAGTACCTGTCTCCAGGTATAGTTCCCGTCATCAAGGACGGATGCTAACTATCAAAAAGAACATAGGTAGTTATCCAATAGTTATCCTAGAACTTATCATGTGATGTACTAAACATTTGCTTCTGCCAATTGCTTGAAGCTTTATCAATATCTAAGAACATAACTAAACTGTTGCTATTTGCATGCTCTCAATCAGATGTTACACTAACTAGGTATAAGGATTTATCTTATTCTCACAAAACTGAAAAAGGTTTAGCACTACACATGTCATGTACAATGATATGAGATCACCACTGCATTATGATACCATTTTATAATATATTAGCAAAGAAGGATATTTTCATTTTTCGTTAGTATGAATACTAAGTAAATACTTTTCAAGATGTGCATGTGTATAAGTGAATATTTAAAGATTTAATTGGGATAAAGACAACGTGTTTTAAAATACAACAACTATGTTTATGTACATACGTTTATGTACTTACTAATTACCAGTTTTGGGAACATTCCTATTGTAAATTTGATGAAAGTCCATTCCTGATGTTGAATATTTTCAAACCACTACAGTATCATCAGGTTATAGCTTTTAATGTTATACCAAATTTGATAAGTTTCTAATATTTCTTAACATTTTTGTACAATTTTAAAGAGGAAAGTGAATGAAGAAATATAGATTAACTGGTGACCGTCCCTTAAACAGGAATAGGGGATTGTGCTGCCTTGAAAATAAAACCATCTCATTTTATCAGTCTTAATAATCAAAGATCTTGTAACAGTACCCTGCTGTAAGTATCACTTGGTTATTGAAGGCCAGTTAATCTGATCAAAACATTCCAAATAAAAGAAATTTTCGGCTAGACTGAGAGCTCAAAGTCAGTAACACTGTCCCTCCAATTATTCTGTTTATGATGTGCTTTTTTCATTGGTTTGTGTTTTCAGACTATCAAGTGATGGAACGAAAGAATGAGAACTTTTTTTGATTGTCATACAGAAAGTCATACCTTTTTCCCCCCAATTAAGTAGTCATCTGTCACACTTTAATAGTCTTCTGCAATTATGAACATGGATGGGAAATACTGGCATTTATAAAGTCTTGAGTTATCTTCTGTTTAGTGTACTTAATGTATACAAGTACATTGTATTTGCTTTTTCTACGCCCGTCAAATTTGACTGAGTATTATGGTATGGCGCTGTCCGTCCGTCCGTCCGTCCGTCAGGCGAAATTTTTTGTTTGTCCAGCAATCTCCTACATTTTTCGACCGATCTCTTTGAAACTTGGTACACATTATAACCATGATATGATGTTTGGCCCCCCTTAAAAGAATTTTGATTCGACAATTTTTCCAAAAGTTTATTGCTCTTTGTTCATTTCAGTATTTGATTTTTGTCCGGCAATCTCCTCCTACATTTTTCAACGGATCTCTTTGAAACTAGGTATACATTATAATCATGATATGAAGTTGTGTCTCCCTTTAAAGATTTTTTATTCGACAATTTTGCAAAAGTTATTGCCCTTTGTTTATTTCAGTATTTGATTTTTGTCCGGCAATCTCCTCCTACATTTATCAACGGATTTCTTTGAAACTTAGTTGGCTGAATAATCATGATATGTTGTTGTGTTTTCTTGAAAAGAATTTTGATTTGAATATTTTTCCAAAAGTAATTGCCCTTTGTTTATTTCAGTATTTGATTATTGTCTGGTAATCTCTTCCTACATTTTTTGACAGATTTCTTTGAAACTTAGTAGGCTAAATAATCATGATATGTTATTGTGTTTCCTTGAAAAGAATTTTGATTCGACGATTTTTGCAAAAGTTATTGCCCTTTGTTCATTTCAGTATTTGATGTTTTTATCCGGAGATTTTCTCCTACATTTTTATAGCATGTCAGCTAACCACTCTTTGAATGATGCAGATCTTATTTCATGTAACAATGTATATAACACTATATGGCATTCAACGGGTGTATATTGTTCCGCCCCGCGGTACTCTTGTTTCAGTATTGTAGCATTGTCCAGTTACATAGGTATCACTCGTTACTCGATTTTACTTTTCACCTAAAAGGCAATTGGAGGCAGATAGGCAAATAAAGGACTTAATATTACCATGGTTTCAAAAAAAGCCAACTTCATTATAAGTAGTCTTTTTCCTGATATTTCATTAATGCGAATTACAAAAATCACATTTTTTTGTGATAACTTCGTAAAATGAAATGAAATAAAAGGTGATTATTTCTGTCTTTGTTTGTCTTTGAAAGGATTTTAACTACAATTGATAAAAATCATAAAACCAAAATTGAAACCATTTTCCCATATGACAAATATTAAACTGATTAATTGTTATGGCCATTACAATGCATTTAGTGTGAGTGTCAAGTGAATGGTTCTGTCAGATGACAGTGTTGTTGTTTGTTGAGTTTAAAATAAAGCTTGTTAATTTATACAATTGTTTTCATAATAACTATGTTTATACAACTTAGCACGAACAGGTTACAGGAGTCGTCGGCTGATCTGGGAGACCGGACACATTTGTCCTTTTATATTCTGTTTAAAATGAAACATGTGCATTGTTATTTATACTAAGGAGTTTTAACCCATTGCATGAAATAAATAAAAACATATGAAACCCATTTCATTATCTTCCAGTAAGGTTCAGAAGATGTACGTCTGACTCAGTGGTTGTGGACTTACGGAATGTATTGTTGCTATTTTTACTTAAGCTTGTTGCAGGGGTATACCGGTGATACAGAAATGATTGATGTATCATGTTATGTCATGCGCTGATTGCTACCTATATGTTTGTGTTCTTCTAGCATGGGCAACTGAGGATGACGTGAACTTATCGTTGTATTCTTGTGTTTGAATCAGTTCCCCAAATACCTAGCCATGACCAAAAAGTTTTATATACTTGAAGTCAAAAAATTTGGCAATTACATTTCGTGATGAAAGGTTTTTTGATTAAATAAACTAAAACCAATGTGGTTGTTACATTTTCTTGCAACTTTTTAAAATGGATGATTCTGTTAAAAAATTAACTCAAACTGTGAAAAATGATCATCACTCACTCAATGTTTTGTATAATTACCTTTCTTAAGCCATAGGTCAGAAGATTTTAAACAACTAAATTTAACACTTTGTTTTATATAATTCCCTTTCTTTAGAAACAAAGCGTAAGTCGGATGATTTTAAACACTGAATTTAACACTTATGTTTTATATGATTCTCTTTCTTTATAAACAAAGCGCAAGTCAGATGATTTAAAACACTAAATTTAACACTTTATTTTATATCAATTGCTTTTCTTAAGAAACAAAGTGTAATCTAGATGATTTTAAAATTGTCAAAAAAGAATATTATTGACAGTAAGTTTTTTTAGTCAAATAGTATCCACAGTTATAATTCTGCTTATCTGGTACATGAAATGTTAGTAAAATATCTCAGATTCTGATTCGTATTGGGTTGTTCCATATAATATTAAACTAATTGATTTGTCATATGAAATGATCATAATCGGAACACCCACTTTTTGCCATTTTAAAAGGAGTACATTGTATGTAACTAAAGGGCAAACACCCACTTCCACAATTATCACCTTCTCTTCATTCGAAAGGGGAAATTGAGCTTTTCAGGCCCATGGATTCTAGAAAATTACATACCTATTATCAGATGACTAAACCTGCTTTGAAGACCTAAAATCCTGCAGAAGTAATCTCTTATACTTTTCAACAATCGATAAGACTAACATTTTCAGGGTAAAGTTTTTGTTTATCGATGGTACAAAGAAACTGTTTATGTTATCCTAACAATAAGTATATCAAATAAGTAGATTGTTTCTTTAATATTCTTTTTAAAGTTTCATCCAGATTGAAAGTTTTAAAATGAATTTTTGTGTGAAAATTGTGCCAAATATGTTCACAAACACTAATAGAAATACTCACCTTACTGTAACCGTACTGTAATACTGTATATGTGTACATATTTCTGCAATTTACCAAATTACCTCATTTTTTAACACAATTACATATATATGCTATAACATATTATATAAACATTGTAAAGAATTGATGAAGTATGGTGATTGTTTTTGCATGTGTAACTCTGTACATGGATCGATAAATGTAAACTTACATTTTAAACACAATGTATAAATGATATGGTCGTACATTTTCTTTACAGCATCTAGAAACAGGTGATGCACACATTTTCAGCTGTGCTTGGTCAATAGGTATATAAATCTGAAACATAACAATTTATCTTTACAATCATTTTAAGATTTTCGGTTTGAAACATTGTTATCCATTGTCTTAAATATATGATATCAGAGCTCATTGTTCGTAGAAAGGTTCATATAGCACAACCACAAATTGTTTATGTGTGAGGTGAGGGAAAACTCATTGTTCCATTGGTAAGGTTACTATACTACTTAGATTTATTATGGTTGAATTTATAAAGAAATTGGCATGCTGTTCAAATTGGTTTAGAATCCTTCATTTTTAAATGATACAACAAAATACTAAAATTCTGAAAAAATGATATTGAAAATAACACACTGCAATTATTGTAGATTTACAGTATCGTAAATTAAGTTTATTTGGATGTGTTGAGGTCTGGTATTTTTCAGAAATATGACCTGGTATTGACCATGTTAATTGGAAGGTAGGACCCATTCACAGGCTTCACAGTGCATTAGGGTTCAATGTTGGTGTTGTGATGAAAACAATATAAACTGTGGAAGCTTTAGTATTTTAATTTCAGTTAGCAATTGTATTTACTTGGTTCCAAAACGATTCCATAGCTACGGGACAAAGATAAATGGGGACTTGTTTTTGTATCACATTAAGTTTGTTACTTATAGAATAATTATTGTTAGTGGACGAATAACAGTGTGATAAGTATTGTTGGCCTCCTGTTCTATTTAGATATTTTGGTAGATTTGTAGATTTGTTTTGCTAAAGCCCCTCCCCCACTCTCTTTTTATCTTCAATAATTCCTCTAGATAAACCTTGTATATTCGTTTACTTAACATTACAATTGAATGTATTCACCAATTTGTGTTTTTACAACGAAGCGCTTCTGCTGTTTGTATACTGTTTTCGTATAGCATGATAAACACCAATTCCTTTGTGATTTTAAATGATGGAACAGTATTAAGAGGCAGGACTAATTAAATCAAGTAATTAGCAAAACTGGGAATTATATTTCTTTGACCCTGTTTTAACAACTTCTATGTAAACAGTTTAACCTTTTTAGAGTGCATCTATTAATTTTTAACATCCTCGTTAAATGATAGCAACATCCTTTCTGAACACAATACAGTTTTGAATAAAGTTGAATATAAAAGTGCTTATATACCCCAGACATTAAGTAAGCTTTAAATATAAGAACATGTTGGTCTTTATGATGTAATCATAATTTAGAATTTATCTAACTACATGTATATCTACATATGTAAATAAGACAGACATCGAATCAACCACAATATGTAGGCGAGAAAATACATGTATTTTAACAAGACAGACTCGTTTTAGTAACCATTATGTTTACAGGATCTAAAAAGACAGCCTCAGTATTGTCGCAAACATATTATTGTCTATCTGTATCTAAAAAAGACAGTCTCGATGTTGTAACAAACATACCTACACTGTATCATATCTTAACAAGACAAGTTCGATTTAATAAAATACCTATACCTTTATTTTAATAAAATTCCCCGATATTATGACATACATACCTACCTATATATGAAAAAACTAAATCTTGTAGCAAGCAAACGTCCCTATACTTAAAAATGCTAGATATTGTAACAAACACATCTATAATATCTTAACAAGACAACCTTTATTTAGTAAAATACCTACCTATATATGAAAACGCTAGATATTATAACGAACATACCTACATGTACCCAATGTGTTAAAAAGCTAGATATTATAACGAACATTCCTACATGTACCTGTATGTAAAAAAGCTAGATATTATAACAGTCATACGTATCTATGTATGAAAACGCTAGATATTATAACGAACATACCTACCATATCTTAACAGAACAACCTCGATTTAGTAGTAAAACATACCTACATACCTACCAACCGTATACTGTACTAACAGAACAACCTCGATTTAGTAGTAAAACATACCTACCTACCGTATTCTGTACTAACAGATCTAGAACAACATCGATTTAGTAGTAAAACATACCTACTTACCTACCTACCTACCTACATGTACCTACCTACCGTATACTGTACTAACAGAACAACCTCGATTTAGTAGCAAACATACCTAGACATTGTATCTATATCTGAAAAAAGCTAGATATTGTTGCAAACATCGTGTCATTTACAAGTTGATTATATTCTGACTGAGTAAACGACACGGAAACACTACAGTTTGAATCAAGTAATTTAGAATAAAATGGAATGGAATTCATAAATAAAATCCTTGTAAACGATGCTCCTGTGACTAAAAAGTCGCAATTTTCCAGATTAATTAAAGTTTTTTAACGGGTGCATCCATACTTTGTATTGTCTTGAGATATATAGATTTTGAACAATTGTGTACTGTAACAGGTCAAAGTTCACTTCAGTTTTTGACAAAAACAGTGAAGAAATATTAAATTTGAAAGACACCTCTTGAATGCTCACCTTCTATTTCTTACAGTGTCTCCCGCCGTCACTGTGGTATGTAATAATGTGAAACTGCTCACCATTTTATTTATCATAAATGTACATATATATACAAATGTATCAGTGTCGGCTTGGAATTGATGGAAAGTCTGAATTAAAACGATAAAGTAAAAAAAAGTTTGTGATATTTATTGCTTAGATGCATCGTGCAATTTTTGTAATTTTCCCCAATAATAAATATTTTGTGATTCGATAAAAAAAATTGTTAGTTTGATTTTTTATATACCAATGTGCTATGGAGGGTGATCAAAATATACAACGACAAGAATAATAACGTATTTCACAAGAAGATTAAAAGCCACACTTTATTACTACAATCAGTTGCAAGAGAATTTTGTTATAAATACTTTAAATATGTCAAAGTCTTAATTTTCTCAGTCAAATTCTCAACTATTTAGCGGCTACAGGTGTTGAATTTAGTAGAAACATGAATTGTTGTATGCCACATTCTAAACTAGATACGTATATCGTGCTATTCCAATTTCAAAGTTGGTTTTATTGACCTCTTGCATTTTTTTTAACCCCAAAAAATCGGGGAGGGGGTCATTGCAAAAAAACATCGTATAAAGCTCAAACTTTATGAATGCTTGTTGGCATAAGGAAAACCCCTTCTAATTTTGGATGTGGTTCTTCAAATGTCAGTACCGCTGATACTAAAATATAAATTTCCCCATCGGGGTTCCTCAAGGGTCGGTGTTAGGACCACGGAAATATTGTATGTACTACAAACCGATTGGAGAGATTTGTCGTCGCCATAGCCTCCGCTATCATTGCTATGCTGATGATATACAAATTTACATGGTCATAAAACCACAGGACAGTTGGAATACAGTCTCAGAAAGTCTGGAAGCTTGTCTGACAGATATCAGTATCTGGATGAACGCCAACATGCTTAAACTTAATCAGGAAAAGACGGAACTAATCGATTTTCCCCCAAAGTGTCAGCAAACAATGGCTCTCCAGCTCAAGGTTGGTGCCAGAACTATTGAGACTGTTCCAGCTGTTAAAAACCTAGGGGTATACTTTGACAGTTCTCTGAACATGGAGAAACAAGTGAACGCTATTGCCAAATCCTGTTACTACCAGATCAGGAACATCGGCTGTATTCGGCAGTTTCTAACTGCAGATGCATGCAAGATTTTGGTGCATTCACTTGTTACCTCTCGGTTGGATTATGGTAACGCCCTGCTCTGTGGTATATCTGACAAACTAACTAGTCGTCTGCAGAGGGTCCAGAACACTGCAGCACGGCTAGTTACTCGTACTCGAAAGAGAGAGCACATCACACCTGCGCTTTATTCGTTGCACTGGTTACCTGTACGATACAGGTCGCAGTACAAAATTCTGGTATACACATACAAGGCACTGAATGGAACAGCTCCTCAGTACCTACAGGAACTTGTTACCCTGTATCAGCCGTCAAGATCACTGCGGTCGGAGTCAGAATCTTTGTTGTGTGTCCCAAAATCTCGTACTGTGACCTACGGAAACAGATGCTTTGGGAGGGTTTCGGCTACGTTGTGGAATAGCTTACCATCTGCTATTAGGAAGTCAAATATCCTGGCCAAGTTCAAGAGGGACATAAAAACTCACCTCTTCACGTCTGCATTTTAGAATCTTTGCAAAGACGTCATGTAAATACCACCCTTTTATTTGTTCAATTATGTGCACATTGCTTGTTAATGTATGAAAGTGATTGCAAGCCTTTGTTGTTTGTTTTCACAATTAAAACCATTACTATTATCCATATGTTGTAAAGCGCCTTAGAGTAATTTTACAAATTATATAGGGCGCTATATAAATGTTGTATATTATTATCATTATTTATTATTATCCTACCTTCAGAACTAATAACTACAAAAAAGACTTTTCGTTTCAACAAATTTTATTGTGTCAACAAAAGGATTAGACAACAGGCAGTGCCTATATAAGTCTTCTCCTGGACCGGTACAACATATATACATTTACACAGAATAATAAGGTATCTTTCCAAAACTATCGATAATTAATTACTTATTGAGATTATTGCAATAGATTGACACTTATATGGAAAATATGTATATGTATTTGAATTAATAATATTGCTGAATGTTGAACTACACACACTTATACCAAGGCTCACTCTTCTACCAGTGGCGTAGATATTTAGGTCACTTTCGCATCATTCTCATCAATGTCTGACATATTAATTGATTAATAATTGTTCAACTCCGAGCACCCTTTTGAAAGAGGGTCTCTGATTGGTCAAAATTTAATGAGTATTTATAAATATAAAGGTCACCTGAACGTGACCCTGACCGCGGCACACTCAGATGTTCAGACGTAGTACGAAGTTAACGAAGCCATGTAACATATGATTTTAATCAGATTGATTGGTCCATAACCTAATTAAATTTTGAGGAAATGACTTACAACAATGATAAATAAAATGGCAAACATGTCGTAAGCACAACTTCTACCTACATAAATCTATATATTGCTTATGGGATTTTGGTTGATTTTATGTTAATTGTTGGCCAATTTACGGTCACTTCCAATCAACTATACAACAACTGGTTTTGGCATACTTATTAATTACTGATAATATACTATTATATTTCTCCTACTCTGAAATGTTATCAACTCTCTGCTTTTCGGAGGTGACTTTGTTGGAACCATTTTTAGGATAATGTGACCAGTTGGGCGTCATGCTATTGTATCTAGATTAATTATGTCATTACAGTCAGATGACACTTCAAAGTCACCAATGAGTGGCTAAACAATCTGTAGAAAACCAGCGTAATATGACCTCAGCTGATCCCTTAAAAACTAACGTCCTTTTAACTGATAGGAGTGTATTGACAGACGAGGCAAGTACTTGTGCCTGTGACCAGGGCCCGTATTCATGAAATTTGTCTTATTTGTCAATGGTTTGAAAAAGATTTGAAGATACTTAAAGCCAAATACTGTTATCAATATTTGAATTTTGACTTTTTGGATCTAGTGAGTAGCAAGAAAGCTGGTTTGAGCAGAGAATAATACTTGCGCATGAATATGGTTTCATGAATATATTAGCTCATTGACCTTTGACCTGATTGTCATATCTAGACAATATTTACTTAACACCAACTATTTGCTGTGGCGAAGTGTATCGTTGATTTGTACAGAAGCTCTGTGTTATCCTAACGTGCACACAGCTTAACAGTATAAAAATTAAGACTTCAACCGAACCACTCGGTAGTGAAGCGGACGTAAAACCTATCAATCAATCAAGCTCGATGGATCTACCGACCAATACCACGAAGGCTCGACAAAGGATTATATCATATATAAGAAAGACACCACTGGAATATTCTCTCGGTCTAAGTAAGCTGGCTGATGGTTGTGATGTTTATATCAAGCTAGGTAAGTATAGGTCATCACTTTTTATCACCGTCTCCCTCTGACCTACATATCTAGTAACAAGTTAGCTGGCTCGCCAGCGTTTTCGATGTTTTTGGAGAGCTTCTGGTCAAAATTCGGCATTTACAGCAACAAGAAGATATTCAAAACGAAACTGCTGACTAATTATGACATTTGCTTGTACAATGCCAAACGATCATATAAATGTTCATGTAAATACCCTAAGGAACGAAGTTGGGGTGTGTTTGTGTGTGTGTGTGTGTAGGGGGGTGGGGGTCTGTCTCGATGTCTGTTGTCTGCAAAATCCTAAACTTGGACACCGATTTCAATGACACTTTATAGATATCAACAAGCAGATATCATAATAATCACCCCCCTCTGCAACCAAGAAGTAGTATTTCATTCCAATCCTTTTTCACGGAATTATGGCCCTTTATTGGAAAATACTTCTCCGGCCAACCACTCCGAAAATACTAGGCCAATTTAAACGATAATTTTAAGATATGGTAACTACTCCTAACGTTGTGCATCCAGGTAATATGTTTTTATTCCGATCCTTTTCATAGAGTAATGGCCCTTTGTTGCAAAATCCTTGTCTGGATTTTTTTTCTCTCTAAATAACTAGGCCGATCTCAGCGAAACCACTTAACAGATATGATAACTACTCCCTGTCATCATGTTGTGTACTGAATGATACCTCTTTCCCCATGTTTTCAATTTCGAGATATGACGGCTTGTAGGGGATATCTTATGGTTTGTCTTCTTCCACACAATGCTTCCTACACTTGTGGACAAATTGGTGAAGTTTCTTTTATTTAAAATTATGTGTTGCAGTCCAATATTATCTAAACACTTGTCTAGCAACCTTTATCTGAAGAGAAAAAATGGCGTATGTTTGAAAGCTGCTCCGTAAATAAAGAAAGCATTACTGGTGGGGGACTATGGATTTCTTTGCTAGGTGTAGGTCTGACGTGATGTCTTTTATCAAGATACTGGAAAGGGTTGGACAGATACAGCTCCCCTGTGGGTACCATCCCCATCCCCAGTTTCACGAACATTGCTTAATGATGGAAGTTAACCTTAAGTTACAGTTCTAGTTTTCCTTTAATCACAGGGAACCTCACATTTTAATCAAATAGTTACAACATCACTTCAGTGGAAGGTTTTAAGGTTGTTGTAGGACAACGTGACCACCCGCTGACAGATTTACATAACGACTGTATTGCTAGATACATGTACCATTCTCATTGATGATACACTTGTTTTTCGTTCTTTGTCTGACGTGATATCATTTTCAAGATATTGGAAAGGCTTGGACAGAAACAGCTCCCCTGTTGGTTACCTTTCTCCACCCCCAGTTTCTCGAAATTTCCTTAATGATAGGAATTCCTTAACTTGAAACTTCCCAACATAAAGCATTACTGAATTTGAGGAAAATTACATTAACATTGTTTCAATGATAATGCAATTTACTTATAGAAAGTGAGCAGATAACAGGATCATTCAAAGCGAGGGGAGCTTTTAATAAAATATTGATGATCGCAGAAAGGAGTCCCGAGTCCAAACAGAAGGGAGTAATAACCGCGTCGTCTGGTAATCATGGTCTAGGTTGTGTAAGTATAACGTCATATCCGGTACAGTCAGGCAATATATCGCTTTTTTGATTTTCTTTTAAGTTCATTTGAGTTAAAATAAAATTAATCTATTTATCGAATAAACAAGAATGCAGAAGTATCAACACAATTGTAACTCTAGCACGATAAAACTAGGCAAAACATGAACATAGAAAACATTTACATGGAAAGTATTCAACAAATAAAAGGAGAATGCGACCAGGTGTTTCTGAGGGGTGAGCGCCTTCTGCTTCAATAACGACACCTTCAATGTAAATTTAGGACAAACCTGAACAATGACACGCTCTAAAAATGAAAACTGGAGTAACGGCAACAAAACAAAAAGACATAGTAAAAACATTGACCTTTATATCACAGCTAATATTTCCCGATGAGATCACGGTGGCGACTATTAACCTTTCCAAAAGTCTTCATCAACCCTCTTTTCTCCGAAACCCTGTATTGTATGTTAGTCAGTTATCAGTCGTCATCTATCACGGAAATCAGGATATTCTGAGAAGGCTCCGAATCAAATTTCACATGTAAACATCGTACGTTAAGGATGTATGGATCTTACTATCAAGAAAGGGAAATCTAAATGTTCAAGATTGGAAAATCGAAATTCTCACGCTGACATACAGTTTAGAAATGAAACTGAAGCGTGTTTTTGTGATCGTTCTGATAAGCTCTTCATTTTCATATGAATATGAAACTAAGTTGACGAGAAGAGGACCATGGTTTGTTACCATAGGAATACCTGCAGTCTGTTTGAAAAAATCTTGTCACCTTACTAGAAAACGATATTGTAAAACCAAGAACACCGTCATTCTCAGGAGTTTCACTTCACTACATTATATCTTGTTGTTTTTTTGTGATTCTTTTTCACATCAAAATGCTCAAAAATGGTTCTCTAAACAGGATTACGGCTATACTGTTATATTGTATACTTGAATGAAAATTTTGAAGAACTCAAAAGATCATTTGATCAATCTTAAGCATTCCCTCCTTTTAAAATATTTGACTTTATTTTACATTCTCTGACGGAGCGCCACCATTGTCTTATTATGAGAATTTTGTTTTTTTATAAAGGTGGACGGCAATAAAATATATAGACGGCACTAAGAATTGTTTTAAGAAGTTTAGATAATAGTTTAGCAGAGCAACTTGAAGAGCCGGCAATAACACGTTGTTCATACATATTTCTATGTTTCGTAATCCTATGCAAACGATGAAAGTTCGTATTCCTATCATTAATCGGTGTTTTTTTGTAAATATTTGAAGAACAGATAATTGAGCATGGTTTAGATATCGGGGTTAAGAATACAGACGTTTTGTCTTCGTATTAGATATCAACCTGTTTGGTAATATTACGGAATAACTTCGTCATATTCTACAGTTGGCAGCATGCAAAAGGGCTGGAATACCACTTAAAGTTTACTGCCAGGAACACGTGGACACTGGCAAGAAGAAGTGGATGGAGGACCAAGGGGCAACCGTTGTTCAGATAGGCGAGGATTGTGTAGAGGCTGAAGAGGAAGCGCGGAGAGTTGCAAATGTAAACTAATTTTTATTACGTTAAATGTTTATTTTTCTTTGTTTTACTTTAAAGGATTTCATTCGTGAGAAAGTGAAATGACTTGTATAGTATATTATCACATCACAGACACAAAAAATGATAGCAATATTTAAGAAATGTTTGCTTTGTTTTATTACGCAGGACACTGGCGTAGAGTATATTTCTCCCTACAACGATTACGATATTATTGCAGGACAGGGAACAATAAGGTATGGTATTAATTATGCGGATGTTAAATTGTTACTTTGGATAATACATTTTTCCATTCTAATAACAATGATAATGTGATAGTAGGATAGGCCAAACAGCGCAATCGCGAGCTGATGATTATATAATTCATCTATGTTTAGAGAGGCTAAGCATAAAATAAATGATTTTTAAATCTTATCAATATAATAAAGCAACTGAATGTTTCTGTCAATAAACTGAATTCAGACCATCAATCATCTGCACTCGGCGGCTCCGGACCTTAGCTTTACACCTTAAATGCGATAACACGTTTTTCAATAAACTTTTAGATCCATGGCTATAGTCTCTGAGCTCTAGCCCAGAGATTTAAACTAAAATGAAAGAAGATATGCTGACCAAAGGGTTAGACGTTTAAAGTAAAAATGACTTTTTAATTTGGTTTGAATTTTTGTTGGTCACCTGGTCCATTCGGGTAAACAATAAAAGTTGTTTACAGTAAAATGCAAATATTTGTTTACATTATTTGTATCTTCTTTTCTTGTGGATAATTATCTCGTTATTACGCGTTATTTATCTCGTTAAACTCGCTTTTCAAAATGACACTAATAGGCTTTCGTAAATATCAGATAATAGTTTTGTAAATGAATTTACCATCAGTATAACTTGTCTTCAAACAAATACATAAACTGTCTTTATATTATACACATTCTTATATAATTTAAAAATTAGACCTTCATTCAGCTTTTTTTTTTATTTGATTGCTGCTATTGGTCAAATAATTGTATAACAAATAAATCGAAGCTTCTGTTGAAAAGTAATTGGGTGAAGTGGTATTCGTGTACCTATTATTATAATACCCCTTAATGTGTGTGTTTATGAGAGGAATTTGCTAGCTTGTTTATCGTAAATATACAATATATGTTATGTTAACTAATGCACGCCTTTCATATTATTAAGTTGTTACAGAAAATCATGTATCGAGGTTAGATTACTCGTATATGTGTCTTTCATGGTGTGACATTACGTTCACGAAATTTGAAATATATCAGCAGCGTTCATGAATGCATTGTGTCTCATTTCTTTTCTTTGTTCAGCATTGAAATTTTAGAACAACTACCGGAAGTGGATGCTATCTTGGTGTCAGTTGGGGGAGGTGGATTGATAGGTGGAATAGCAAGATATGCTAAACAAGTGAAGCCTTCTATCAAGGTAGTGCAAGCCCGAAATTTGATGCACTCGGAAACTTTGAATAGTCAGAAGCCCTGAAAATGTCTAATGGCAGATACAAAAAGGTTTTGAAATATATCTTATTTCTAGATTAATTATTAGAACATAAGTACACGTTTGAACTGCATTTGATAGAACTGTGATAATTTCATTTGTTAAGTATTATCCTTGAATAAAAACAGTGCTTTCCAGTGTTTCAATGGCACGCAATTTATTTTTGAATTCATAATGATGAAGAAGTCAAGAGAGCATTGTGATTTCAACACTGAGTTATATGCTGGATTTATTAGTTTTCAGAATGAAGATTCTACTCTTACAAGCAGGGTTACAGGGTAAACATCATGCAAACTTGGTTGTTTACAAAAACGGGTTTATTAGTCCATATTTTGTATCTACTCTACTGTTGTATAACTGTGACACAGTTTTTACTCTACCCTTCTTTTTGTTTTGTTTTATTTATTTTTCTATCCATCCAGATAATTGGCTGCTCGCCGGAGAAATCTAAAGTGATGCACGAAAGTGTGAAAGCTAAGAAATTGATATACGAAGAATCGTTCGATACCTTGTCGGACGGAACGGCAGGTGCTATAGAGGAAAATGCTGTAAGATCAGTTTGATTTAAAGTAACATATTATTAACAACAATATTATACCCCTTTTCAAAATATTACACAACAGTTCAAGTCAATGATAAAAACTGATGTGATCATATGTAATTCTTAAGCTGTGTTTTAAATAATATTATTATAGAATCTAGCATATATATATGTTTGTATGTATTTGATGAATGAATTATAGCGCTGCACAACTGTCAAATACGTAAATAGCTTTAGAAGTTATCATTAGACATTTCACAATATATTCTTTTACGTTCTTGCTTTAACGGGTTTTTGCACTCATTTCGCTTGAAGGTAACACCGCCGTTCAAAGCTACGCCGTAACAAATGTCTTTCTGACGAGCTTCTTTATGTCTTAATTATGATACACTCAAGTAAAACAGCATACTTAGATAACAGAGTAATATCACATTTTAGAGAGTGGCAGAGCTGATGTTAAACACCCAAGATATCACTAATACAGGAGACAAAGACAAGGGTAGCAGTAATATTCGAAGAAGTAAACCTTAGCACTTTAACAATTTACCGAATCTAACATACGTTTTAATTAGGAAAAGACAACAATTATCGATATAAAAGTAACATTGCATTTATCCTTTTTATTTATTATGATCACCATCCATTGATGTATTACATTTTTACGTCGTTTACGGTTTGGTTTTACTGATTCATTTTAAATGTGAATGTGATAGCTGTGTATTGAAAATCGGCTCCATCAATTAGTTTACAGGATTCCGATGTTAAAATAGATCAATAAAGACAAATACACTTGATGTGCAGGTGACGTTCGAGCTGTGCAGGGATTACGTGGACGAGTGGATACTAGTCACAGAGGAACAAATAGGAAAGGCTATTGTCTTTATGGTGAAGAATCACCACAAGGTATAAATACAACACGGCAAAGTGTCAAGATAGTGACAAATAAGGCACAAAAATGATATGATATCGTCTGGCGACAAAATATATCACAAACAGCAACAAATTCAGGCACAGCAAGGTATTTTGATTATTCTGACATAGCAAAGTAGTAACAAAATCGTAAACAGCAAAAAAGTGACAAACTCTTACACAGCGACATAGTGACAAAATCTGCCATAGCAGCGTAGGGACAAACATTTACATGTAGTGAAAAAATCTGACAAATCAAAGTAGTGACAAAGTCTCGTACAGAAACGTAGTGACAAAACCTGACACAGCAAGGTAGTGGCAAGATCTTACATAGCAATGTAGTGACAAAACCTGACACAGCAATAGAGTGACAGAATTTTACACAGCAACGTAGTGGCAAAATCTTACACAGAAACGTAGTTACAAAACCTGACACAGCAACGTTGTGACACAATCTCACACTGCACTGTAGTGACAAAAATCTGACACAGCAACGTAGTCACAAAAATCTGACACAGCAACGTAGTGACAAAATCTCATACAGCAAGAAAGTTATGTATACCAACAAAAAGGTCATGGTCTAGTCTTTCATAGCAAGGAAAGGATATAAAGCTGACACAGCAAGGTGGGGATAAAATCTGACGCAACAAGGCTTATATAAAATTATAGTCTTTTCTAGATGTCTCCAGAACGGGACATGCCAAAATCCTTAAAACAGTAGTTGTGATTCCCTGCTTCAGGTTTAGCATTTAGGGAAATAGCAACAGGCAATTGTTTAACCCGTTGCCAGTATATTGTTACCGGGCAAAATAATCCGCTGGATGCCTTCGACACGGTAATTCAGTGAGGTAGTACTCAATAGTTGGCATCAGATCCGCGGTATTGCATATTATACGACAACATATCGCCTCCAGCACTCATACACACATGCACACATATTTAACACAGATGCAGACACGCCCTTAAATGTTTTTAAGAAAAACCAAAACCAAACTATATTTCGGATCTTGTCCTTGTCATGTGTCATTTACTCCTCATTATTACTGTTACAGGTGTTTTTTTATCCTGGAAACCCCATCAGATGGCATCTAATTAGAAAATATTAATATATCATGAACCATACAATGGTTTTATGTAAAATAATAAAATTTCTGCATTCAAGTAGAACGTATACAATTATGATTGTTATATCAATTTTGATACGTTTCTAAATATAGAAATTTGAATTTATGATCAGTTAAATATACTTCCGGTCGCTGATGATTGGCTATCGCAATTCATATTTCAGATTGTTGAGGGGGCCGCTGGCGTAGCACTGGGAGCTTATATGTTCAACCCAGAAAGATTTAAAGGTCTAAAGGTGGTGATATTATCTTGTGGGGCAAATATCAGCACAGCGACACTACAGAACCTGCTAAAAGAATATGCATAGTCATTTCTCTTTTGTGTAATAAGTGGTTCTCCTTCTTACTTCAATGCTGTCTCTATTTTGAGTTGAACGTTCGAAATATTGTTTACTGATACTTGACATTACAGAACGAATTTTGGCAAAGAAATATTTTGCTTCTACGCTTAATTAAAGACATTGTATACAACATAATTTCAATTTTTTTTAAAAACAATAATCAATTCTTATCTTCATAATCTAATCAATTTCTTTGTCTTTGTCAGACACGGCATTATTTTTTCTTACATTTCAAAATGCATGGCTTGTAACTTATAAGTATACTTATCAATAACAGGATGTACAGAGGCTCGCTCACTTAAAAAGAATATTTTACCAGAACACCTAAATTGCAAAACCCGTCTATGGTATTGAATGTGCTCTCTGTGTTTTGATATATGATGTGTTTTGTTTTTGCTTTTGCATCAATAAAATTGATGTTTTTAAAGATGCGCTTTTACTTCATATTTCTAGTAATTGTAATTGGTAAAGAAAAGGACAATTGTGCAACGAATTTTTAGTCAATGTTCCGCAGTGAACCTTGCGAAAATCATTGCATTTTACAATGTTTTAACTTTCCCGATCATTTCATTATGTCTTTGACTGTCAATATTTTAGAGAAAAGTGATCAAAATACCGATCGTCCTGCTCTTAGTACCCCGTACCGTAGAAACACAAAGGAACATTTCATGAGACATATGGGTGCAATAGCGGTAGGAAGTTTGTCAATCCAGAATTCAGTCTTACAAATATCACCATAGGGTATTTAATCATAGCCATCGACATTACACTAGTTCCACAGAATAGTTAGTTGAAAGTCTTAACATGGACTCGAGATGAACCACAATATGTCACAAAAGGAACTTCATTTGCTTCTGTATAATGAACTTAATAAGAGGATTCAACTAAACCTCTTATTGGTGGCCATATGGAAACTAGCTTAGAGTCTTCGTAAAAATCATTGATGCTGTAGAATGTATTCAATTCTTCGAATCTATTTGTATGGATAGTCACGACGCTTCGGTTACTCAACTTTTTATAAAAACTGGCGAATGTTTCAGATGCAAAAAATAACCATTTCGATTTCGAGTTCGAATAAAACGTTTTATTAATAAATCGATATCTTTGTCTTTTTTTTTTTTTTTTTAACAAAGCCATTTTACAAATCCTCACGTAGTTTTGATTTATTTTCTGTTTGAAAATACCCTCTGTGTTCTATCTGAAGAAGAGGAAAATGTGATCAAATGTTTATAGTAAACTGTTAAAAATGAGGACTATGTAGTTTTTATTAAATTTAAGATTGTAAACAGCTTTGCAAGTTCCAATATATGTTATTACATTTTGTAGTTTAGGTAAACATTTGTTTATAATTACGGCATTTTTTAATGAAATTTGTTGCATGTTCTCTCCATCAAATTCAGAAACAGACAACACACTAACTTCAAAGTTTAGTGCTGTCTCCCGATTGGAGACTTTTTCTACGTGTTTTTAAAATTCTGGAAGCAGTATAAATATGCCCTTTTGGGTCTGAGAGGATATTCCCTCCCTAAGGCCTAACTCTTCGTAGAGGACTATTATGGACTAGCAGTATTTATATCCCCCCGCAACGAAGTTAGGTGGGTATACTGGAATCAGCTTGTCTATCTGTCTGAATGTCCGTAGAAAAAGTTTGTAAGCACAACTTCTTCTAAAGTTTCCAGAAATGATACCACCCGAAGTTGTGCATCCAGGTATTATTGGTTTATTCTGACCCTTATTTACGGAGTAATTTCCCTTTGTTGAAAAAGGCTTTCCCGCACAACCTCTCCGAACTTCTGGACCAATTTCAATGAAAGTTTTCACATATGATAACTACCACCTGCTGTTGTGCATCCAGGTTTTATTTGTTCAATCTGTCCCATATTTTGGACTAATGACCCTTTGTTGAAAAATACTTGTCCTGACAACTCCCCCAAGACTATGCGGCCAATTACAACGAAAGTTTTTAGATATGATAACTACCCCCTTATGATCTGCATCCAAGTATTGTTTTTCCAACCCTTTTTATGGAGTTATGGCCCTTTCTTGAAAAATTATTGTCCTGACAACTTTTCCTAATCACTGGGCCAATTTCAATTTCAAGTGCTAAATTCATCTCCTCTTCTATCTTGTCCGCTACTGATAAATTATCTATATCTCTACGTCGTGCTTTTGACTATTGGCATTTGTTGTTATCTGGAGATATAGAACTGAATCCTGGTCCCATGTCTTCTAGCTCGTCGTCCTCATCTATATTTTCGAATATTAGTGGCCAGCTCGGTGCAGTCAGTAATTTTTCATTTGTCCATCTTAATGTTCAAAGTCTCAAATAAAAACTCGATATTCTTTACACCGAGTTAAGTAATATACCAATTTTATCCTTTACTGAGACATGGTTAAATTTAAATGATATCTCATCTGAGCTTAACCTGCCTGGATATTCTGACCCATTATACTACTGTAGACCTGATCGAATGGGCGGTGGTATATCGGTTTATGTAAAATATAATATTCCTGCAAAGAGAAGATCAGATATATAGAGATAGCTGCCATTGAATGTGTCTGGTTAGAAGTTGTACTTGGTTCAGAGAAAATATTATATGGTACTTTTTATCGGCCTCCAAACTCTCCTGTCATCATATGGTCCCATATCTAGCATTCTATAGAAAAAGCATATAATACAGGCATTTCTCATATTGTGATAACCGGCGACTTTAATGCAAATGCCCTAGTAGACCACCATTCGTCCCACTTACGCGATATACTGGTTTCCTTTAATCTAACTCAGCTTGTTGAATCACCAACTTTTTATTCAGAAGCCTCTTAGTCATTGTTAGATATAGTCTGTACTAATAGTAATAACCTTATTAATAAATGTTATGTTGGAGAAAGCTTCCTTGACCAACCGGTTAGATATCATTGTCCAATTTACTGTTCTTTTAATATTTCAAAGCCAGTGCAGCAGGTGTTTAAGCGAAACGTTTGGCTTTTTGACCTAGGAAATTACGATTTATTTAGGGTAAAACTAAGCTCACTTAACTGGAATTTATTGAGTGATTTTGATGATATTAATGATGATGTCAAAAATTTCTTAGATATTTTACTTACTATTGCTAAATCTTGTATTCCGAATAAAAAAATAACCACCAGATATAATGACCCCCCTTGGCTATCAAACGAAATAAGGAGATTAATTCGTTAACGTAAGCGCGCTCATAAAAAAGCCAAGCGTACCCTCACTGAAGATCACTGGGCAAAGTTTCGTCGACTTCGTAACAAATGCGTTAACACAATCAAGCACGCCAAATTAACATATTTTTCAAATGTATGTACCGAACTTCGCAAACCCTCTAACATTAGTGCCAAACAATGGTGGAAAACTGTAAAGCAACTATTACCTAACTCTGGTAAATTTTGTATACCACCATTGCTTCATAATAATAGCGCTGTCTCAGATGACTTTGAGAAAGCTTGCTTATTTAATTACTTCTTTTGTGCCCAGTCTACAGTTGATGACTTCAATGTAAATCTCCCTAATATTATCGACGAACGTAATAATTCCTTATCTGATATTAACATGACAGCTAATGATATCAGAGATGCTATTCTTACCACTGACTGTTCTAAAGCCATTGGTCCTGACCTGGTAAATCCTCGTTTTCTTAAAGAATCAGTAAATATCATATTTGTCCCCTTAAGAAATCTCTTTAACAGGTCAATTAGATCTGGGGTATTCCCATCTGTATGAAAGTTTGTTAACGTCACCCCTGTGCATAAAAAGGATAACAAGTCTATATTAACGAATTACAAACCTATATCTGCTATCGATTGTTTGTAAGTTAATGGAAAAATGTGTCTTCAAATATGTCTACAATATTTTGCACACTCACTTCCTCCTATCCCCCCATCAATCTGGTTTTAGGCACGGTGACTCACCAACAAATTAACTTCTTGCGATCATCCATGATATATATTTAGCCTTAGACAATGGTAGGAAAATACGTATGGTCTTTTGTGATATTAGTAAAGCTTTCGATCGTGTTTGGCATAAAGGACTTCTTTGTAAATTATCCAGCTATTGGATTCGAAATTCGCTATTAGTTTGGTTTGAAAATTATCTTTCCGATCGAAAGCAGAGAGTTGTCTTCAATGGTAAACACTCAAATTGGTTAAATGTTAAGGCCGGTGTTCCACAAGGCTCAATTCTTGGACCTCTTTTATTTCTGATATATATAAATGACATTGTTAAAGATATACAAGCTAAAATAAAGTTATTCGCTGATGATATCTCTCTTTACGTAACTGTTGATATTCCTAGAGTCAGCGCAGATATTCTTAATAGTGACCTTAATAAATTTCATACCTGGTCGCAAAGATAGTTAGTAAATTTTAACCCTTCCAAATCACAAACCCTGCTCATTAGTAGAAAAACCATTAAACCTTTTCATCCTCCATTAAATATGAACAATACTAACATCTCTGAAGTTACTACACACAAGCATTTAGGTATTTTTCTCTCTGGAAATGGTCATTGGAATGAACACATCAGTTATTTGATATCTAAGATTTCACCTAAAATAAATATCTTACGTAAATTTAAATTCTCTTTGGACAGGTATAGTCTCCAAACTATGTACTACACTCTTATTTGACCTATATTAGACTATGGCGATATCTTATGGGACTGCCTTTCTAAAGCTCAATCTGAATTATTAGAAAATCTTCAATTAGAAGCAGCACGCATGGTCACTGGCGGCACTAGACTCACAAGTAGGATTAAACTGTTTGGCTTCACCTCGAGGAAAGACGTAAACAGCACAAGCTTATTCTTTTCTACAAAATGGTTCATGGTCTGGCTCCTCAATATCCTCTAGATATTCTACCTCAGCGTAACCGTAACTACCACAACCATGATACTTGCCATCTGTCATCAGTATCTGGAACTCCTTGCCTGACTATGTCAAGAACGACCCTTAAAGGGCCGGTTTCCAAAACGGCCCCTTCTCTGATTCAAATTTCCTGTTGGTGGTGCATTGCCCATGCCGTTGTGGTCACAAATCTATAAAGTATAAAGATTTAGGTCACTTGGTTTGTTTTTTATGGCTCCTCAAAGTTGTACCTTTCAGAAGCTGTCTAAGTGTTGATAAAATGTGCATGTTATGTAAAATATTAATGAAAATCTAATCAAATGATGGTCACCGTAAAGAATACATTCATGGCATGATTGTGACAAAAAATCATGTTTCCATCGCGCCATTTGGCTGTTTTATGGAAGAAACAATCTCAAAAATGCCATTTTCGATGATAACATTTTAGACACAAAAACTGTGTTTTTTAGAGAATACACCCTTTTATGGGCGTTGGATGCAAACCAATTTTTATCCTATTAAACAGTACGTAATATGCTATTGATGAGAGGAAAAATCATCAAAATGTAAGTGGTGGAACATTTTCAAATGTTGGGTTGAATTAGCCTATGGTTGAATTGCCGATTTTCGACTTTCTTTAGATAATTAACAAAAAAACGAGAGTATTTGCTCGGTATGTTGAGAATATGTACACAGATATGAAAAAAAGTGAGAGAAACACTTTTTCATAAAAAAAATCCAAGATGGCTACTTCACAAGTCCCCGTGGTTGAAGACATTGGCTGACAAATAGACAGAACAACAAACAAAACGTGTTCCTTATGATTTTGGTTGGTTTTCGCATTTACGGGAGTGTTCATAGCTACGGGCGATTGTATAATACCTATATTTATAAGTTTGGTTAGTCACATGGTAACGGGGATCTTTCATATCGAGCCCCAAACATACTTTCGACATATGCACTCCGTTGCCGCATGGAAAACTATTTCAAGTTTTGTCGGAATTTCTTTACCTGTGGTTGTAATGGTCGAGGGTTTTCCAGCGTCCTGTAATACCCAAGGTAGTACAAGATACTGGAGATGTGCGCACACATTCCCATCGTTCTCTCTCCAACTGGGCACTGGCAGTAGTAGTCCTTTATTGGGGCCTCAACATCGGGTGAAACGGTGA